CTTCCAAACTATTACTCGAATATTTTTACTGACACTTCTAAGTTCTTACATAAATTAAATTTCATAGTCATATAATCGATATGTCTATTATTAGATACTGTTATATTTTTTATAAATAAACAATAAACTTTATGCAGTAATAAAATAATCTTACAATCATTGTTTTCAAATCGTTAAAACATAAATGAAATAAACGTGAATAGGTACATGTTAGTATTATCTTAATTCATTATAGGTAATATATTAAATACTAGATTGGTTGGTAAACGGTTTATTACGGAAAAATACAAATTACCAATTTCAACAGCTATAGGTTAACCCAATAACTTTCAGTTTCAACTTAGTATGTGCTATATCGTTAATTTCTGATCGATGTTTTAAATTTTGTCAATAAAATTGTCGTGAAATGATAAACATTATCCTATTTATTTATACACTTTGACAGTGTTTTGTTTTACATTTATATTCTAATTTTAAAATGATAATAGTCTCGAGCCATATTTGTATGTTTATAACTTCAGATATATGTTTATATGTGGTATGACTGTAGAGATTAAACAAACTGATAAGAGTTATTCAAAATTTGTGTTTTATGACAAACGTACCTATATTCGATACCCACGTATTACTTTTTATTTTATTCTTTAGTCTATACTCTTTAACTATTTTATAAATACGTATATGCACTAATAAAAAAACTAACAGTGGATATACGCCGTATACCCGCGTATCACTCATGATTTTATAAGTATACGCAATAACAGAAAAACAAAGAAGTGCGTATACGCCGTATACCCGCGTATACGCTCCACGACACCTCTGGATCCAATGTGTCGATATACTAAACGCACAAGTGTGCGACAATCGCAAAAGTGATATTTTTACTTTTACGACAAAAACGAATACAAAAATTACTGGCTCGCAAACGCTATAGAGCTTATAGCTAATATACGCTAAGGTGGCGACGACAATGCAGACTTAGAGAGATGATCGACAACAAATCGATGTAGCACAAAGATAGCATAAATAATCACAACACATTCGACCAATGTGTATTCAACACTTCTTTTTAACTTATTAAAATGTATAGTATGATAATAATTATTTTAGGTGACTGGAAAAATGAATTGATTAAGCAACGCGATTAGTTTTTGCGTAAAAACAAACTAGTTTTCAACGAATAAAATCGAGCTTTTAATTATTAGTTTACTTAAAGTATGCTATAAATTAATTTTATGAGTGTGTATATTTACATATGTATAAAAAAATATATAGAAATTTAATAGTAAAAATACAATAGTCTCTTATTGTTTGAGTAACTATAATGTTTTGTATGGAAATAAACCATTGATATTTTATTGTGTGTTTAAATATAAAACATTGTACTTAAATTACAGAATTAGTTAATTATTATTCATTAATAATTTCTTAATAATTTAAAGCGAATTCTTGAATATTATTACACAATTTAAATAATTATTTTATAAAATAATATATGCGTATTTAGAATATTTCTTGAATCGTTTGCATTTTTTAACAATTGAAAGTTGTTTATTAGAGAATAATTCATATCAAATGAAACTGCTAATTTAACGGTTTTTATTAAATAACAACAAAAAAAGTATGTATATATAATAAATCACTTTATTGATGCGCTTTTAAATAATATCTTAGGCAAAATTGTACATCTTTATTTAGACTATATATTATATATTAATTCATTATATCGATAATTTTATGTCCATCTTATAAACTAGAGTGAGAAAAATCACCCCAGTTTGGATAGTTTTGTAAATCGATGTTTGAATTTTTGCCGTAGGTGACATTAATTAGCAAGCAAGACTAAAAAATCATATTTAAGCGCCAAATTTAGCTGCAAATATAATAAAATAACCACCATCTATGTCGTTAACTTTTACCACAGCTATATAGTCTGTGCGTTTACAAAGTTGTCGCTAACAACAAATTGATATATGTTACATAGTAGATTTATCCGCCAAATTCATTGATAACAACTTATAACTATTTACGGTTAATTTATAATTATAATAATATTATGTTATAGTGTTATTGTTATTATTCTTATTATACCAATTACTTTTTATACCTACTTCAGTTATTAACATATCAAACAATATCATTGTTGAGACAATAAGGACTTGTGGTGTTATTTAAATAAAAACATTGAAAAAAATCAGTCCTATTACTTAATTTTCATATCTCATGTATAAATTACATTTGAATTTGATTTTACGGTTCAGTTAATTTTTAAATTATTCAAAAACTTGAATTTAAACAAGTCAAGAATAAATTTTTGTTCAAATAATGTGAATATCTTGATAAAGAATGACGTGTCGTATAATATAACAAATATGGACTCAAATTTTCTTATAAACCTTACACCACAACAAATGTCTGAGGTATATGCAGAGTTAGGTACCACAGAAGAAAAAATAAATAATGATGTTGGATTTATTCTTGAATGGTGTCAAAAACAACCTCATCTACCAGATTTACAAAGTAAATAAAAAAATATTTAATATTTTAACAAATAAGGAATCATTTCTGATTTTCATGTAAAAATTACTTTTTTATACGCACGAGTATGAAATGAAACTTAATCATCGTAAGGTAATATAAAGATCCATAATTTTAAAAATAATAATTTTTGACTCAATTTGAAAAATTAAATTGATAGCAATAATATGTAATTAAACATCCCATTTTAGGAAAAATCGATGATCAACATTAAATCAATACGTTTACATATATTTAAGTACATAACAGTAGGTAATTGATGAGTTAACATTTTCTGTAGCATTTAAAATATTTGAACATTTGAATTTTCATATGTTTATTTTATAAATTAAAATATTGAGAAAGGAACAGAAGATAACGCATTTTTTGCGCTAAATAAATATTAATAATATGGATAAATTTAATTGATGTTATAGTTTAATAAGTCCTTTTAATTAAACTGAAAAATGCTAATAGTATAGGTAGAATTTTTTAGGTAGATAATACAATTTTCAATTATCTAATTATCATTTTGACTCATAAATAATTAACACACATAAGAGTGTCATTAATATAGATGTAAATTTTCATAAAATTAAATCTCGAGAACATTTTAAAATGTTTGAAAATTCATTATTTTTCTTGTAATATTTACTATTTATTACCTTTTTAATTAAAGACGTAAATTATAGGAGTTTAAAGGGGACTTAAGCTTCCTAATTTGCTAATGCTCTCATTAATTATATTAAAATAACACGTGAAATTACATAAAAGAATTATTAAGAAGAAAAATTATGTTGAATTCGCTACATATTTTGTTCAAAGAGCTCCTATGTTTCTTAAAAAAGAGCTACAATATAATCTTTTAGACTCACTTAATGTATTTAATTTAATTTTTTTTATAATACCTAAAGACATATTATAGCCTAAATATATTAGTAGAAAAAATTGTAATTGACTAAATAAAAGTACTAAAAATAATTAAAAATGCATTTATTATTTTAAAAATTAAACCACAATTTTTTGTAAACTATGACTTTATTCAGTACATAAAATATGTAGATTTTTCAGGTGATTATTTAACTATGACTTGATAAATATTTTTAAAATTATAAAAAATAATATGATTATTTAATTTTATAAGTTAATTGTTTCTTACGTCTAATAAAAAAAAATGGTATAAACTCTTCTTATCTTCCTAAAATTTTATTAATTAAAGTTTTTAAATTAAAACATAATTTTTAACTAACTTAAAAATAAAAAAAAAATATCTATCTAAGAAAATGATTGGATCATAACAACTTCTGAACTAGTATTTTTAAAGATATTATCATCTATTAGACCTGTAGGAGTAAAACGGACTCAGGATTAAAAATTACATTAAAAAATGCTAAGTATGAATTTTTAATCACAACCAAAATAAACGTACTATCTAGTATTTCCTTTTAGTAAAAATTCAATTGAACACCAAAATTATAATAATCCGCATCAAAATTCTAATGCATTATAGTAATAAAAATATTAAAAATAATTTTTGCTTTTCATATAATTATGAGCAAAAAATAAATACATTTACTGTGATTTTCACAATTTCTTATTAAATAATTGTATATTCTTATTAAGCTGCACATTATGCAACAAAAAATATCACACATCAGAACATTTTTATCTTAATAATAACAATTTTATTCACCATAAAAACATGTGCGTAGGTTCAATCATATCTATAAAAATTAAATTCGAAGCACTGTAAAATATATAAATAATTCACTCACTAACACTACTAGCAAGTTATACTCTCAACCTGTACTTTTGATTATAATATAAATCACAAATTGATAGTAATAAGTAATCAGACTTATTTTTAAAATTAAATAACAATAAATTTTCATTGTTCACTTATAGATTAAGGTACAGAGGGGTAAGTTGGCATATTATTAAAGAAAATAAATTTCATAACTTTTGTCTTAAATATTCTAAGAGTATCTATAATTCATAAAATAATGAAAATTACAGATTTACATTCGCAGAAAGGGAGAAAAGAAAGAAGTATAATCTATTACTGTTATTATTCCTATCCTTTTTTTATCTTATTCTAAACATAATGTAATTTTTTCTTTTTAGAACATAATAGTATCCTACAATTTATATTTTTCAATAAAAATTGTTTCTATGCGCCTCTTTATTAATTAAATTTTTTAAAGATCTACCTGATAAAAATCCTATGTAACGGGAATAATTGTTGTAAACAAATATTATCACTTAGCGTTATATCATTTGTCAATTATTTTTAAGTGGAATTCTTTTTTTTTCTCATTTTTAAACGTGGAAATTCAATGATTAGGTTTCATTATAATTTATTGTTTAATGATATTAATTAATTTTTAGCGGAACAAATAAAAGTGAGGTCATTTTTGGTTGCATGTAAAAACAGTCTAGAGAAAACAAAAGAAATGTTAGATAATCATTACACCATAAAGACTTTATTGCCAAAATGTGCTCACTTTGATACAACAAGTCAATTGTTTAATGATACATGTGAAATGAAGTAAGTATAACAAAAAAATTGTTTTAGATTTTATAGTGTTTTTTTTTAATTTTGAAAAGTTTAAGGTATGAATTGAAAATCATTAAGTATACTATTTTTTTTTAATATTTATTTTATTTGGTGCAATGCAATAACTAGTATAATGCCATAACGAATAAAACATCACGTTGTATTATAACACATTGTTTAGTAATATTATAAATACTTCATAAAAAAAAAAGTGTAAATTACTTATACTTTAAAGAATAAATTGAAAATTCACATTGGTAGGAGGATATCTTTAATATACACGTTAATTTTAAATGTATAAGTGAAATTTTTACATAATTTTTGTGTACAAAAAACAATTACACAGGACGATAGCCATTTTCTTAATTATAATATTTATAAGAGAAATAGTATATGGAATTTCGAATCTGGCATCAGATTTTTTCTATCATTTCTTGTTTTTGAGACATTTACTAATTAGTAACTCTAAAATATTTGTACATTAGAATTGTCATACAAAAAAAAAAATTAATTATCTCATTATATTTAATAAAAGTTACAATATCGAAAATTCGCTACAAATACTGTTTTTTTGTGTGTACTTTGAAGTAATTGATTTACTTTACAAATTTCCCCCACAATGTATACCTAAATCTTCTATGATATAATATGTTTGTAAAAAATTATGTATTTTTCAAAGTGCATGCATATTTAAAACATGATTTTTTATTATTTTTATTTAGCTGAATTTCGGTAAAAAATAGATAAATAAATATTAATTCATTGCCGTAACTAATCATTAGCTACGGAAAGATTACTTACATAAATTTTATTTGGATTATAGTGTTGTTAGTTTTATTAAATTGTAAAAGTTATTACAAGTTTAGTTTTAAATTTTCATTAATAATTATTGATTTTTATTTCATTTAGCATTTGTATTCCGTTACCAAAGATATCAAATGACGGAATAAGAGTTGTACTACAACATTTGAAAACTAAAGATGCAACATCATATAACTTTATGAATACGACAAAACTTATGTTAATGGCTTTGGATATTAGATATTCTAAATTAGATTTTGCTAAAAAAGAAATTGTCATAATGGATATGAAATTTTGTACAATGAATCACGTCGTATCAATACTAGAACATTTGAACGATTTTACTCGTTACTTGGTAATAAGTATTAAAAAGATCTTTTTTTGGTAGAACACTTGTAGGATGTATTGTATTAATTGCTGGTAACAAGAAAACCGGAGAATAACTAAATCAAATTTTGAAGCAATATAGGAATTAAGTTGAAAACAAATATACATTTGTAGAAAATCCACTTCATTTAAAGAAATGGGTTTCTCCTTTCCCTAAAAAATTTAAATTTTTATAATTTAGTACTTATACACTATCTTTTAAATTTCACATTTTTACAGAAAGGTTATGCGTATCGAATACACGAATTTCACTTACTTAATGTACCAAGTTTTGCAATCTCTATGATAAATTTAGTGAAGAGCAAATTAAAAAAAAAAATTGAAGGAAGAGTAAGTCATCAAAAGTTGATCATATTTGTTTTAAAAATTTTAATATAATGGTGTTTAATTTAAATAACTAGGCTACACCTTGCTTTGGCTCCACCCAAAACCAGGTGCCCCGCGGACCTTACGCGCCTACAGCACGTTAGGCCCTTTGGGGTGTCTTACAGATAGGCCACTAATTTCGGTAGGAGTACATGGCTACATCGGGTACGATATATATTCTGCCAGAATAGTATTACTCCAAAAACAAGTCATCAGAAAAATAGTCACACTTGTAAAATAAATAATAATTAAAAAAATACAATATATCTATAAAATACTTAGATGTAGTCAAAATTATACTTTATAACAACTTACTAATTATTATTTAGTACAACAGATAGGCAAAAGAAAAATTAATAATGAAAAAATGCAAACTTTGAACGCTGAGTTATTGGTGAAAACTACATAAATTAAATTAAAATTTAAACAGAATTGACATGCGCAAACCAATGTCAAATCTTATTAAAAACTATGCACATGGATTAAAAAAAAAAACCTTATAAATCGGTCAAAACCCAATATATTTAACGGAATTTTCAAGGTACCTTTGGAATGTCTTTGAGCAGTTTTAGTAAAAATTTCATGTGTAAATCAAAAAACGCTAGCGGTAATGAGCGTTTGTTATAAAATTTTTAAAGGCAAAGAGGCTGATAAAAAAATTCTCCTTATCTTCGTGAATAAATCCTCGAGATCTTAGATCTTTTTCATAAAAACAAAAAATGTTTGAAAAACAGACGTCGTTATGTAATTTTTCCAATATTGACTAATTTTTCAATATTTTGTTATAAAATAAGATGATTAATTTTTGCTACAACAAAACGAGAAAAATTTTTTTTATTTTCAAATCTTAAAAATTACCACAGGCATTAATAGTAAAAATCAAGTATATATTAAGAATTTTTTATAAGTATAATATTCATATAATATGTAGGACAGATTTATCAGGTTAACTGACTTGAGTATCATACATGATACTCAGTGTACTTTTCTATTAAAAATACTCTTTATTCTAACTTTTTGTTTATTAAAAAAACAATATGCGCATAATAAATTTTCAATAAGATTTCTTTTCGACATTTTATAGTTTCAACATAGCTTTAGTAGCATCAAGTGAAGTTTTACTTTTAACGCCCCATTTGGCACCTTTTTGACGAAAAATTTGATATTTTACACCTGCATAAATTTTATTTGATTTTATTTATGGCGTCAATTTATCTAAAATAACTAGATAAAATTTAGTCGTGTCAACGGTGCCCTTAAAAAGCCAAGGCCTAAATATAATCAATTTGGAAAATTATGATTAGCTAATTAATAGCTAATCTATTATATCTGAAAAATTTATTTATATTTTCTGATATAGATATATTTTCACACTAATGTTGAAGAATTGAAAAAATTCATTGATCCTAGTATTCTACCAATAAACTATGGAGGCACTTTTCCAAAAACATCCATAGATCTAATGGGTAACTATTATGAATCTTATAGAAATTGTGTGAATAAAAAGTATTTTTTTGATACAATAACCTTTAATTTAAGTGAATATTTTTTTTTTACATTAATTAATATTATTACAAGATATTTTAGTTAATAATATAATTATCTATGTAAATAAATATAATAATTTTTACAAAATATTAATTTAATTTTTAAAATTATTAATTCATCAATTATAATTATAAATGTTTTGTATCAAAACGCGACTTTTTTTACAACAATAATTTTTTCAAATATTTTATGGTTTTTTTATTTATGATTATAAAACTTTCAATTTTTTTGGAACTTCATGTTTTCTTATTTTACTTTTTTTTAGCTTCGATGCGAAACTGAGAAAATATTAATTTTATCATGTTGTATTTTTTTTTTGTCAGTCACTACTTTTTTTCAGTTCTGACTGAATCGATATTTGTTAACGATACGTCAGAAGATCACAATTCGTATATAGTTTAATACAAAACCCTTAAAAACTGAAAAAAATTCCCTCGTTCCCTGTAACGGAAGAAATCCTCAACAAAATTATGATTTTATAAATCAGTAAATTTTGACATTTTTAAAATTTTTTTTTCTTAAAACTGCCACAACTTTTGGAAAAATGATCTAATCATAATAATATTTTTTATGTCGAAGCCTTAGGTATTTCTCTTTTATTTGATATAAATTTTTCGAAAATCTGACTCTTTACCTGTCCATAAGAGGGAATTCAAAATAACAACTTCTGCACGAAAATTAACTTTTTCAACTTGTTTTGAAAACGTTCCGGAAAAACACCGAGTTCAAACATATATTAAAATAAAACTTATGTTATGTACTACAAATTAAAAAAAAAACATTTGTCCTGACAACTTTACTTGTATGTGTAAATGGTTGCGTATTTAAAAAACATGCAATTTTAGTGTTAAAATTTACAATTTTATATTTTATTTTTTCAACTTTATATTACTATAACTCTTCGCAAAATGTATGAATCAACACAAGCTTTTGTTTCTAAACAAATTATATATATATCTTTCATCTGACATACTTTTTTTCTAAATCGGACCATTTTCCTTTATACAGGGAGGTTTAAAATGTTTAAAAATACGAATTAAAAGTAGAACATTTTTAACTTTACTTTTGAAAATGGTCCGGAAATACTCCAAGTTTTAAATATCTGTGAAATAAAAACTTATATTTGAGTCATCTCAACTATATTTTATAATAAATTTGTACCTTGGTTTATTGATATCATTATTTACTTAATTTTTATACATTCATTTTAGACGAATGGAAAAATGAATTGATTAAGCATCATGATTGGTTTTTATATCAAAATAAACTAGTTGTCGATGAAAAAAAGCGAACAAAAATATCAAATTTTCAATTGGAAAGTTTAGATGGTTCATTTAGAAAATTGGAAGTTGACTAATTAAAAATATTTATATTGCTTAGTATTCTTTTATAGTTTAGAAACATCTATAATTTTTATAATAAATAATAAACTAAAACTACAATGATTATTATAATTAATGTTGAAAGGAAACAGAATTTATGTTACAATAATTATACACAATTAAAAAAATTATTTTATGTAATAATATTATATGCTTTTATAGAATATTTGTTAAATCGATAAAATTCCTAACTACAAAAATATAAAGTAATGTTTTCGTGATATCCCCTTAATACTTATATCTATCTAACTGTACATAATTAATTAATTAATTAAATAAAAACTTCAAAATTTACATTTTTCTTCTAATATATTACAAGTAATAAAATACTAAAAAACAGTTATAGTCATTATTTGATGAGTGAATGTTTTAATATTTCACATATGCATTAATAGAGAAATTAATTTGTAATAATTCTATCTAGGCTGTGTTTTTATGATCAATAAAATATGAGCTTCTTAATAATATTACTTAATATTAACTTAAATATTTATATTAGACATTAGGAAATATGAAATAGATTGCCGACCATGACCTTGAAGAATTTTGGTAGTATAAAGAATAAATAATCATCTGGAAATAAATTATAATTATGATAATAAACATAATGTAGAAAAAGATATATATTTTATTACAAATAAATAATATTATCAGACTTATATTTTTTCAACTGTATCTAGTCTTTAACCATTAGTTTTGTTATTTATTCAATGATTTTAAATTAATATAAATGTCTTTTTAGTGATAAGTTACAATAAAGGGTTTTCATATTTTATTAGTTTTGTGGGTAACTGAGAAGCTATTAGTTTGATTTTAGAGCTATTAACTGAATTTATTGTAGTTTTTATGTAAATTTAAACCATATCTAGTAAGTTAATCTGCCTATATTGAATTTTATTTAAATTTTAGCCACTAATTTTAGAAACTGTAAGTATTATGAAATCACTTTTAAAACCTAAACAAATCTAAAAGTTTTATAAAAAAACTCTACCTACATATTTTTTTGGTTAATTTCGATTTTTTAAGTTAACTTTTAATATAAATTAAGGTTTTAAAGCCAAACTTATAATATTTTGAGGTACTGTAATCATTTTTTAAACATGTAATAAAAAAATTTAACATAAATGAAAAAAATTTTTAAATATAAGAAAAATGATCAAAAATTGAAAATATTTAGGTTCTTAGCCCTGATTGATTTTATTTTGTTTTTGATATTTATACACCATTACTCTTGCCCCTTCCAAACCGATTTTGCTCAACGATCCATCAAAACATTACAGAAATCTATCTAGTTAAAGCTATCATTGTACCTGGTTAAATATATTATTAATTTTACTAAATACGAATAATATATAGGAAATCAAAGCTATTCCAAAAAATATGAGTCATGGAATAAATTTAATGATTTATAATTTAACAAAATAAATAGTACTATCGTCAAATAAAAAAGAATCTATTATTATGTTTGTTACTGGTTAGAGATAGTAATTAATTCTCAAACTTTACGATATATTCAGGTTTTACCATCTTGCCCTTGAATAGTAAAAAAATCTTCATATATACTGCAGATATTTTTCACTATAAAAACAAGTGATGTTAATTTGAAAATCACATTATTTGTTTTTTACTCAAGAAACGTATTTTACAGGAAAAATGGCATCTCAAATAACTGTGAGTAACTTTTGTTTTAATGAAAAATACAATTATTGTGTGTATTACCAGCAATTTTCTGGTAGCAAATTTATTTATTAAATATTAATTTATATAGACATGCTTTAATTTTTTTTAATATTTATTTTTCATTAACTTTTGAAATAATATTCGAAACATAGTTTATAATACTGCAGTAAACAAAACATTCTATAACTTTTGTTCCACTGAAAATATTTTGTATTTTATAAACAGTTTTTATAATTCTAACCTATAGTTTATAGAATTTGTCTGAACAGGCTGGAGCATCCTACACATTATTTTAAGCTTTCATTTAATAAATATTCAGCTCAAAAATAAAACTGCATTTATATTAATATTTGATTTATTTATTTTTAGTGTTAATTTTGTAAAATTGTACAAAATATTGAGGGTATAATGCTATAGTCTTTGAAGACTTTTTTCTGCAAATTTCTATACGCTCTTTGTAAAATAATATCCTTTAGAAAAGTTAAAAATGTATGACTGTATTACAAAATTAATGGTTTACGAAATTTGTTTTTGTATACTTTTAATAAGAAGAAAATTTACTTTTTCCAGAAATAAAAACTATTCAAAAATTAGTTTTGGTTAAATGTTATTTTTTATATAGCAGTGTCATTTAAAAATAAATTTAATGTATAAGTGTTATTTATTTGTCTTTAATTATTAAAATTATTATTATATATATGTTTACATAGATTTTGTTGCTGTGCATTGTAGCTGTTGTAATAATACAAGAAGCTTCATGTTTCCCAGAACCACAACACCACCACCATGGCCATCATCATCATGGTGGTCATCACGGAGAAAACGGCTATGGTAATGGAGAGTGGGGAAACGGCTATGGTAATGGACAGTGGGGAAATGGTTATGGAAATGGACAATGGGAAAATGGTTATGGTAATGGACAATGGGGAAATGGTTATGGAAACGGCTACGGAAACAGCTATGGAAACGGTTATGGAAATGGTTATGAATATGGCAACGGATATGGAAATAGTTATGGGCAAGAACAAGGTGGAATTTTGGGAGCATTATTTGGCTTATAAACTTATAAAATTTAATGATATCAATTCATTTTTTTTATTAATTTATAATTTATAATATATTTTTTGTATATGTATTCTAATTAACCAAAAATATACATAATTTATTTGCAAAATTTTACTTCGTTAGTTAATTGATTAAACATTTTATCTTAAATATAACAAAAACTACAAATATCATTATTTTAAAAGTTGAAAATATTTATTATACGTAGAATCATTCTATTTATTATAAGTTAAAATAATATAACCTAATATATTTGCATTTTTTAAAGTCATAAGTACTTTGTGTATGAATTCGATTATTTTGACCGTCGATAGTTAATTATTATTTCAGTCTATAAATGGAAATTTTCATTTATCTTAAACCAGTGGTAGCTAGAATATTTTTTTAGTGAGGGGTTTTAAAAAGAACAGGGCCCTTTGTAATATACAAATCGGATTGACTTTCAAATCGATATATTTATTACTAACACTTAAAAACACAATAAAAATTATACTAATTGAAAGGATAATATCTAAGGTACATATAAAAAAAATTTTTTCGTTCAATCATTTTTCAAAATTATAAAGCATTTTGAAGTAAAAATAACAACAAAAAAGTTCTTGACACAAATTTTTTTAACTTATTATTTGTAACATCCACTTTAGTTAAACATATGTTTGAAGTTAAACAGATTTCCTGAGCATATTCAAAAATTAATTTAAAAAAGATCTATTTTTATGTGTGTTTCAAGTTTTGAACCCCCTTTGTTGGGAATTGGTCTGATTATTAAAAAATAATTTGTCGAACAAAATAAATATGTATCAAGTAAATAAAAAACCCTATTAAAATAGTTTTAGCAATTAAAAGACGAATGTTTAAAATATAAAATCGATCATTTTAACACAAAATGAGCTTATTTTTTAATTATGACAGCCATTTTCTCATAGAAGATAAATAGTCAAGATATTTTTTTTCAACTTATGGTACGTAACAATTACTTTAATTTGACATATGTTTAAGACGCATCATATTTGTTATATTTTCAAAAGTTAAGTTGTAATAGTTAACTTTTTGTGTAAAAGTAGTTATTTTGTACTTACTTCTATGAGCAAATTAAGGACAGATTTTAAAGAAAATATACCTAATGAAAATATCTTAAGTGTTTACAGAAACATATTGCTTTTATTCATCCATTTTTGAAAAGTTATGGCACTTTAAAGTAACAATAAGTTTAAAAATCGTCATTTTTGGGGGAAATTTCCCCAAATCCCCAAGTCTTCCGACAAACAAGGAAAATTCTTTTAATTTTTGAGAGTAATATTTTCAGCTGGATACTCTTTGTGATCTTTTAGCAGATAAATGAAAAAAATCGGTCCAATGAGAGTTGAAAAAAGTAGTTACAGACGTAAAGGAAAAAAAACACATCAAGTTAAAATTAATAACTCAGCTTCGCATCGAAGCTAAAAAGAAAAAATATCTGTAATCTCGATTTCCAGGAGTTATTGAACATTTAAAGACAAAAATTAATTTTATGGTTAATTTAGCAGATTTTGAAGTTTTATTTGCAAAGCGACGTATTAATTACACCATTCAAAGCTAAAATAAATTTTTATGTACTATACTATTAAAAAGAGAAAGACGTTTCAATGATTTGTGTTATACATGTAATCATAATAATAATCATGTAATTTTCGTTGTGTACGTTAAACCGGTCTAACTATTTGAATAATGCTCATATCAAAATAAATTTTTCAGTAATTATATTCAAGAAAAGTATCTTTATTATAACTTACTTTTTATGAAAATACTATCATTAACCAAGATACTGGTGGGTTTGAAAAAAATATTAATTTTTTTTTAAATTTTTGTTAATGTTTCAAAAACTTACCATCTCTTAACTTTCATTAAACAAAGGCTTATACGAAGTACTTGAAATAGAATACTATCAATGTTATTGGGAATTTAAACAAAAAATACAATTAAAAAAAAAAAAATGGCCAATTCTGTAATTTATTGTATAGTAACAAAGTACTTAAATCTTTCTAAATTATTTCAAATTAAAGCTTGTGTATAATAATTTTAACTAAAAAAAAGGAAAATTTCAGGTGACTTTTTTTAATGAGAACTTAACTCTTTAAGTCAAAAAGCATGTCATTTTTGGTGGATATGTCATATTTATTTTCTTAAATATATCTCATATACTCATAAAAGTGTTTTACAGCAATAATTTTAATCACTGACAGACATTAAACAATACTAAACTAAAAAATACTTCAACTCCAATTTACTTAATCATACTATATTATTCTTCTTATAAATTAAATAAAGAAAAATTATTTCTAATATATACCTAAAATTTATTATTCAGCTTTATTTCGGTTGTATGCTTTTGCACTTCAAAATTGACTATTCATATAAGCCACCATTAAAAACATTTAATTTGTTTTGGCTTAACTGAAAAAATTCTATAAATGACACCTTAGATTAAATAGCTAAAGTGATTTAATTTATCTCATTCATTTTAAGATATACTGATATTATAAGTAAATAGTACGTGTATAATTTCACTATAATAACAAAATCAAGTTTTGACTATTGATAATACATAAATCTATAAAAATTATTTAACAAGAAAAAAAAAACAATGTGAAAAATTAGGTTTAATGAATTATAAATTAAGTTTTTTTGATTAAAGAAATATTTTTATAATTGAAATGTTTTAAAACATTTTCACATTATTTTAATATATAAAAAAGTGTTTTTATTAATATTCACAAAAACTCACAATTGCGTATTTTATAGAAATAATGTTATTAAAGTAAATTGTGTGGTACGACAATTTAGGAACGAGAAGGAAGTAAAAGTATATTTATTCTGATTTATAATTAAATAACTTAACTAGATACTTAAACTATGTTTTAATAAAAATAAAATTAATAACATTTTATATATAAGGTCTATTTTATTTGTAGTATAGCTAAATAAATATATTGTTAATTTTAGCTAATCCAAAAATAATTAGTCATGGAATAAATTTAATGATTTATAATTTAAATAAAATAAATAGTAATATCGTTAAATAAAAGAAATATATTATTATGTTTTTTACTGGTCAGAGACAATAATTAATCCTCAAAATGTACGGTATATTCAGGTTTTCCATTTTGCCCTTGATATTGCGAACTTGAATACTAACAAAATCTTCATAATATATTGCAGATATTTTCTACTATAAAAACAAGTGATGTTAATTTGAAAATCACAGTATTAGTTTTTTGATCAAGAAACATAGTTTACTGAAAATATGGCATTCCAAAAAACTGTGAGTAACTTTTGTTTTATTAAAAATTTCAATTATTTTGTGTATTACCAGCAATTTTTTGGTAGCAAATTTATTTATTAAATATTAATTTTTATAGGCGTGCTTTAATCTTTTTTAATATTTATATTTCATTAGCAACTTTTGAAATAATATTTGATACATAATTTATAATACTACAGTAAACAAAACATTCTATAACATTTGTTCCACTGAAAATATTTTGTATTTTATAAACAGTTTTTATATTTTTAACTTACGTTTATTGCCATGATTTATAGAATTCGTCAGAACAAGCTGGAGCATTCTGTATAAATTTTTTTAAGCTTTCATTTATATATCAATTATTTATTTTAGTGTTAATTTTGTTTAAATGTATAAAATATTTAGGGCATGATGCTAAAATATATGAGTAACTTTTTCTGCAAATTTTATAGGCTTTTTAAAAAAGTAGAAATTGTAGTACCGTACTGAAAAACTAAAAGTTTATGCTAAAAATGTGTTTTTATATAGATGTAAAAAAAAAGAGAGTGATTTTTATTAATGTTTTTTTATTGGACCTAAAGTTCCCCAATTAATAAAAATTAGTTTAAAGATTGATGTTGGATAAATATTAATCATTTAAAAATAATTTTAATAGAATAATGTATTTCTTAAATTGATTTGTCTTTGATTATTTACTTAAAATTACACTAACAAACATTTTTTTTACAGATTTTGGTAATGTGCATTGTAGCTATTGTTCTAGTACAACAAACTTTATGTGATGATGATGATGATGATGATGACCACCATGGCCATCATCATCATCATCATCATAATGGTGACGATGATGATGACCACCATGGTTATCATCATCACCATGGTCATCATCCTCATCATAATGGCCATTATGGAGGATATTATGGTAATGGACAATGGGGAAATGGTTATGGAAACGGCTATGGAAACGGTTATGGAAACGGTTATGGAAATGGCTATGGTAATGGCTATGGATATGGAAATGGAAATGGCTATGGATATGGAAATCGTTACAGGCAAGAACAAGGTGGAATTTTGGGAGCATTGTTGGGCTTTTAAACTTACACTAAACAAAACTTATAAAATTTAATGACATTAATTCAGTTTTTTTTATTGTTTAATTTATAATATATTTATATATTGTTTGTATGTGTTTTCTAATTAACTAAAAATATACGTAACTTATTTGGAAAATTTTACTTTATTAAGTAATTGATTAAAAATTTTATCTGAAAATTAACAATAACTAAAAATATTATATTTGTAATGATGAAAATCTTTATTTTACGTAGGATCATTTTATTTATATTAAGATAGAATAATGAATTCTTGATATTTGATAGATTATTTTAATTTACAATATATACACTTTTTAAAAGTTTAAGTATTTTGTTAATGTACTAAAATAATCAGAAAAGAAATAGATTCGTAACATTTATANATTTTGTTAATGTACTAAAATAATCAGAAAAGAAATAGATTCGTAACATTTATAAACATGAATACCAATAAATAATTTACAATTAATTTACTTGAATTTTATTAAATATAAAATATAGGTTATTTAAATTTTTGAATAACCTATAGTTTTTTATCGTAAAAAGAACTATTCTAATTGTATGCATCTCAATAATATATTTGAATGTTGTACCTACCACTAAAAAATACAATAATTATTATTTTAACCTTGATTTTTATTTAATTAATATTTTTGTCATGTATAATTATTATCTACTAATTAAAAAAACCCAGTAAAGCTAGGACTAAACATAGTGGAGACCACTATAGATAAAAATCTGACAATAATAATATCACTATCATAAAACGTTCAATTCAGAACAAATTAAAATAATTATATACTATTTAAAAAAAAAATTGTGAAAAAATAAATATTTTTAAAAAATTAACCATTGTTACGAAAAGTATAACACATTTGTTTCAACTTCTAAAAGCTGTTTTCAAATAGGAAACAAGTATTGAAGACAATATTGTTATTTTAAACTTATTATAAATTTGTTCAGATTTTTTTCTATTTTAGAAGGTAATTTCTTCAACTTGTAGTATTTCGAATTCTTTAATGTATTGTTTGAAAATGTTGGTTTAACAGAAGCTGAATATGCAAAGAAATAAAAATAAAAAATACACACCGTAGTAAAATTAGTACATTCTCGACTTTGCATCTAAGCTGAAATATCATATAAACTAAATATTTTTTTATTCTTCAAATAATATTACATTAATGGTATTTATAATTAATTTCCGTGTATGTATAATTATGTATTTTAATATTTATATGACATAATGCTACGCCATAATAGTTTCCACAGTCTTTTTTTTAGACTGATTGTAGATTAAATGTGAGCATATATGATTGATACTGACAAGTTAATTTTACCTTAGTACCAGAGAACCTAAAATAAAAAATGTGCTTAATTCAGTATATGATAGATTATAGTCTTCCAGAAGATTATCCGACAATACCAAAATACATAATGAAAAAATAAACATATATAATAAATTTCTGAATGCAAAATTATTAAAGTGTTAAATTATAAGATTTTTATGAGATACTGTTGATAAATTTTTTTTAAGCAGATTACGAACATTTAAAAGTTTAAACTACTTATGATACCTAAACATTTGCTCACATAATTTTTACAATAACTAAAATTTATTTTAAAATAATGGTTTTGCTTAGAAAAATAAAATTGTGATGGATGAATTTAAAAATATGTTAAGTCCATTGAAATACAAATTTAACTCATATATATGTATATGCAATATACGAAGAAAAAAAATGTGTCAGTCCATTAATGTTTATTTTTATGAAAGTTTAATATTAAAACTATTTTTTGAGTGAACTTGCAAATTTAAAATTGATTAAATAAGAAACTTCATAAGAATTTAAAAAATGGTATGATTTAAATTGATACGTGGTCAGAAAATTTTATAATTATTACTAATAATAAATTTATTCGAAAAGCTAGGAATTTCGTTAAAAAAATGTTTTTCCATTATAATAAATTATATGCAATAAAGCAAAACAATGCAATTTTTAATCCTCATAAAATTTCTTATATATTGATGTCAATTTCTAACTTCCAAGCTTAGCCAAAAATATTTATGGTAAAAAGTTTGAACCGGAAGAGTTTATCGACCTACGAAAATATCATTATCATGTCATAATAATGATACAATAAAAAAAAATGTTAGTTAAAATAATAAAATTATGTTGAGCAATAATATTTTCGAAAATATTACATATGGTGTAACTAAGGGATCACCTGTGTATACAAAATTGTTCATCAAATTATACGTTTAATATATTTTGACTAAATAATAATTTGTTGATATGTACTTTCATTTGTCAATCATCTTTAACGTAATTGTCGACATTTCTAATAGGTATTTTGAAACTATTGTTATCAATTTAACTTTAATATATAGAATACAAAAATAATCAAACTATATTTTATAAATACTTTGATGATTGATTTTTTTTTTTTTATGGATAATTTATATTTTATACAGTTTGATTCAGAAAGTAATTTAAAAGGTTGACATTGACTTCAACAAATTCAAATTACTAAATAACACAAAATATTAAACTGTATTGTAGTATAAAATTTAACAATTCTGTTAGATAAATATATATTAAGAGCTCATTTTATAAATACACGAAAAGTGAAATAAGAATAAGGAAAACGATTCTACACCATCGTAAGAAGCTTTTCGTTATGGTTGTTTAAAACAACAGAATCCAACTTACTAATTTATGGAAGTTTATATGCTACTCGTGTAAAAAAAATGCCTTCGATTTGTTCCATGCAGTAGACAACCCACTGAACAAGTCATCACCTTCTTACAATCATCAGGAGAGCTGTACAGTTGTTTTTTTTTCGTCTTTTTTTTCAGTTGCTTCCAACTTGCATACCAAATGACATTACCAAAGGACTAAGAAACTCTAGACAGGCTGGTATAAACTAATACAAGTCCTCTTAACACAAAGTATCCACTCGACGCGAAACAAACGACCTGAAAACCTTAAACGAAATAAGTACAAGCGAATACGAATAAAATAAGACAAAAAAAAAATAACTAAAAAAGAAATAACGAAAATACGAAATAGACAAAATACTAACAGAATCGCGATTGAATTGAATTCTTTTTCTTTCCCACTCTCTATCTTTTATGCACTAACATTTTATTTTTATTTTTATCAAATCCCTATATACCAGTAAAACAATTACAAATTCTTTCTCGTTTTCCATTAACATACACATTCATACTTACACACACGTTGTATTTTATAAAATATTATTTTTCAAGTTTTTAAAATAATTGACTTCTATTTATAATACTAAATTATAAAATGTTATATTTACCACCACTTAAGAGATAATTTTACATTCCATTGTTCTTCGTTTTATACAGGAAACTTTTAATGTACATTCCAAATAGATTTTTTGTAGACTATAAGGTGGTGACAATGATATTTAATTGTTATAGACATTAATAAACTATTGTAGTGCATTACGATGTAAAAGTAGTTCCACTTATAATTGTCGAGGTGAATACTCATATGTTTTTGAGCTTTTATTAAGTCTTTGATAGAGAGCTGAAAAAGAATTAATTTTATTATGGTGTATTATTTATTTTTTATGTGTGTCGCCATTTTCTCCCACTTTTCACCAGACCGATTTCTTTTGACGATGCATAAAAAGATCACAAACTTTAAAAATCAAAAAATATTTCTATAATTTTCTGTAAATAAATTTCTTCCAAAAAATACTATTTTTAAAATCGGTAAATTTCAACATTTTTTAAACTTTTTTTTCTTAAAACTATTACAACTCTTTGAAAAGTGAACGAATGAAAATAATTTTTTTAAATAAAATCCTTTGGTAATTTTTGTTTCATTTGATATAAAAATACAACTTTTGCACGATAATATAAATTTTTTATCTCAATTTTTGAAAATATTCCAGATTATATTGCGTCCTTAAAACATATGTTAAATTAAAGCTTATATTACGTACAAAAGCTTAAAAAATATATTTGTCCATACACCACGTCTTTTATAAATAAACAGCGCTCGAACTTAAACAAGAAAATGTTATTTTTTTGTAAATCACTACTTTTTGTGTTTTAATTATCTGTCTATTTTTTTTTCAATTAATTTGCCAGTATTTTAGTTATAGTCCTATATTTTGTTAACTCATTATATTGTTTTAAATAAAAAAAAAAATGAAATTGAAAATTATAACACGAAAATTGATTATTTTTTTACAATAAAATATTAAGTTATTAAGTGGCTAATATTAAAAGAATCATCCAGTATACAACAATTTTAAAATTTGTATAATTTTTCCGTACACTTTTCAATACTAAATATTCAATATCAACTTCATACCAAATTTATAATTACTATAACTTCCGTGTATCATATTATATTTATAAATCGTAAAACTTATAAACAAGATATAAATAAATTTATAAATTATAAATTTTCTTCTAATCTCATTAGATTTCTAAAAAAATACAAAATACGATTCATTTATTAGAGTTGTCAAAATTTAAATATTCACAATTATTTTATCATATCTGATGAACTATTTGAAATTAAATTTAATATTTCATATAAAAATTGTTTGTAATTATATTTTCTTAAAGAGACATAACATTAAGTGTTAACATTTGCTAAAAATTGTATAGTTCTAATAGTTCAATAATAATATGACTTGTACTAAATAAATGAGTTCAACCAATAAATTTTAATATTATTATTATAATCAGCCTTAATATATACAGTATTCCACGAATTCATATGAACAAGATACGCCTGGGAGAGATGCTCAAATATCTTTTGACCAGAAATTTTGTGTGGTTTCTTATTATAGGTATACTCATAAATTTGGGAAGTGAGATGAAGGAATTTCTAAAATTTTAAGAATAACAATTATCTTAATATGTATGATTGGCTTATACATATTAGAGATTAATTGTAGAGTACTTTTCTATTTATTTCGTCTAAAGTACTATTAAAAAAATTATCTTATAATCCACAAACACATTTAAGATTTCTTTGTTAATCAAAAACAGTCCATCACTTCAATTTTTTTAATTTAGAGTTCAATACTCCGGAATTCAAATAAATTCTTTTTGTACATAAGTTTATCAGTGTTTATTAGTAGTGAAATCAAAAAGATTAACGTTATGTCTACATATCTAGGTACTTGATATTGTGGCTCTAATTGTAAATCGATAACACTATACAAAAATAGCTGTTTATCCACTTAAGATTTAAATTTGTAAAAAAATAATTTAATTCGAATAAAAAAAAGTAGTTAATATTGATAGTTCAAATTTCAATTAATGTAGTGTGAATAAGAAGTAAGATTTTATTATTGATCGACTTAATCATTTATTAAAGCTTTTAGTATTCATTAAAAGAAGAAAAATGCCAAATGAAAAAATAACACTCAGTAAGAAACTAGTAAAATCATAACAATAAAATTAATTTTAAAAAGAGAAACTATGAAAGGATTGAGAAAAATATATAGTTTGTATGACAAACCAATGGTCAGATTCGGAAGCAATGACCAAAGTCATATAGAATCTGTTATAATGTTCGTAAAATACGTAACGACTTAAGATATTTTATTAAACAACTATTTTAAATATACTCAACCACTTTTTATTGTTTATTATTCAATTCCCTTTCTCTTATTAATTTTTATTGCAGACTTGTTATTACATTTTACTAATTCTATCATTTAAAAAAACTACTTTTTGTAAGATGGCCGTGTTGGAGTTATTTATGTGTTTATCGTTTTTCTTAAGTGATGCTATTAATTTGATCGTTTGTTCGCTAATATCAAAGGTGAATATCATAAACATCTTTATACAAACAGACTATTAAAACTCTTTATATTTATAGATACCTGCGGTTTTCAAACAACTTGACTTTCAAGGTCATAAAATATGCGATCAAATATATATAATATGAAATCGAATTAAAATATAAATAAACTGTACATAAAATGTATTGCTACTATGACTTGAATTTGATTTGGTTACAGTTATTAAGTAAAACAAATTTAAAATAGATTAGTAAAATAATTAATTTTAACCCAATTAAATTGAATAAATAATTAAGAAAAAAAGAAATTGTGGCGTCTTATAAATTTAAAAGTAACTAAGTTAGTTAGCTTTTATCTAATATTGTTAATATATTTCAATAAAAATATTTAAGAACACATTTAATACCCCATTATCACATCTAGCAGGAAACTTAAACAATAATTTATTATTATATTATAACGGGTTAAAAAAAATTATTTCAACATAAGTTTTGATAATTGGAAAACGTACATCAAAAAAAAAATACAGTGGTAACTTTTATAATTAAAGGATTCCCCTTTATGATACGCAATATTTCTGATAGTGTTCCTTATTGACGATTTCTTAGGCTGTATCAGAGATAATTGCATCTATACAGTAACTTAAAAATTATACCATAGTAAAAGTTATAGTCAAATAATATAAGATAAAATTGGAAAAATACCTATTATTATTTTTTGTGTATACAAATTGCACAAATATAAACATGAAAATCATAATGTTATTTGATGATATATCAAAAATATAGGAACGTTATTATTTTACAATTGCACCGAAAAGAACTGGTTGAACAAGTTTCATATTATTGGTTTTTTTTTGTACGACAAGAAATTGCTCATACTGTCAGTGTCTTGTACCTTGTAGCATCGATAGTAAAGTGAAAATTGTGTTTTAGACTTTTTTCTATCGAACTTCTAAGTTAATTTGTTAATAATGGACGATTTGGATCAACAAAATCATCATATACACTGGTATGACAAACGTCTGATGGCAATTTTATCAGATTATAGTATGATTATTTTATCAATTATCATTACATGGTGTCTTCTGTACGTCAATTTAACCCCATACTTAATGGCAGTACCAGGAGGAAGTATCGCATCTTTTTTCATTCTATACGTGGCTGGATATGGCTTGGGCTGGTTAGTGGAAAAACTAGCCAATTTGCCACCTTTGTTAGGTATGTTGGTGGCAGGAATAGTGATTCAAAACCTTGGACTTTACAATGTTGAAGTAGAATGGTGTATTAAATTTGTTGCGATTGCTAGGTAAATATATTTTTTATTCAATAACATTAACATATAGATCATAAATCCCCGGACTTAAGAAATACAGAAATGGTCATTTAACGTAAGTTTTGTACGAACCCTTGTTTTTAATTATTTTATGTGTTTTTAATAGTAATTTCAGTTATGTAAGAAAATTAAAAAATTTATATGTATTTAATTATAATTATTCATCTATAATAAATAGACAAAATATACCTTACTAGCAAGTAATCTATTAGTAAAATGATACCAATTTTGTTTAAATTTCTAAAGTTACATGATTGTAAAAGTATTCAATTAATATCTTTATATAAAAGTATATAAATGGTTAATATTAGTTAGTTTTATTAATAGATTTAGATATTTTATTTTTAAAATATTATTTTCAACAAAATAGCTGAAAATATACTATACTTATTTCACGAGTTTTAACTCGTGAAAAATATTTTATATAATATAATCATTCCAAATTTCACAATATTTACGCTGATTAAATTTTCCAAAATAATTAACGTTCACTAATCAAAATCAAAATAATGTAATTGAATTTATTGACAGGGAGGCTGCACTTACAGTTATTCTAATTAAAGGTGGCTTGGGGTTGGATGCTGATCAACTACGTCGTCTTAGTGGAACGGTTACTAAATTGACACTGACACCTTGTATAACTGAAGCAATTGCTGTTGCAGTGGCTGCTCATTATTTGATTCCACAGTTTTCATGGGAATGGTCATTATCCCTTGGGTACGTATTCAGAAACAATTTGAAAAAATTACATAACTTAGTTAATAGATATGTAAGGTGGTTAAAATTGACTACACAATTGCTCCTAATTTAATAATTGTTGTTATTTTTTTAACATTTTTTTCTCTATTTATATGCTATAAACTATTTTTAATTACATTTCTTATACCTTAAAAGATAGCGACATTTTTTTATAATGAAATACATATTGAACTCTTTAAACATATTCATGATTTGAATGTATTTTTAAGTATTATCTTATAGTATACTTAATTTTGAAGATATTATTTTTTTAATTCTTTATTTAAAGTTTCACTCTTACCTTAACTAATTCTTTAATCATTTTTCATATAAATGTTTAAATTATCTAAAATAAAATAAAAATGTATAATTGTACATAATAGCAAAAAATATTTGTTACTTTATTTAAAGTTATGACACGTTCCATTTTTTTTTCATTTTATTTAAGGGATTTAATTTAACAAATTTCTTTATGTCAAAAGTTAGATGTAAATAAAGAATTGAAAAGAAATATTAATATATAACTCTATATAATTAAACCTACAGATTTTCTTTATCTGCTGTAAGTCCTGCTGTTTTGGTGCCTCGACTATTAAGCTTGAGGACTAAAGGTTATGGTGAAGTAAATGGAGTTAATACCTTATTAATAGCTGGATCTAGCTTAGATGATATTGTTTCTATAAGTGCTTTTGGTGTATTACTGGGTCTAGCTATTTCTGAAGGTAATTTTTAATTGTAATTAATCATAATATTATCATATAGTATAAAATTATAGTGAATATTCAATTATTTTTTAAATTAAAATGTTTCTTTTTATGCTAAAAATATTTGACAGGCGATTTGATAAACAAAATTGTACAAGGGCCTATAGATGTATGTATTGGAATAGTAATTGGATTACTATGGGGTGCTGTGTTAATATTTGTACCACCTTCACCGTGGGCTCAAAACGTTAATAGTGATGACTATAAACTTGAAAAAAATAATAGAATTGATACGGTAAATAATAAAAAAGTTAATTTTACAATTACTTTATAAATAGATTATTAATTCATGCTAACTAATTATATTGAATAATATTTACTATCATAAGTTAGATCAATCAACCACAGCAAAACGATCTCTCCTTTTGGGTGCTGGAGGATTTTTAGCTGTAAGAGGTAGCCTATGGTTTGGTTTTCCTGGGGCTGGACCATTAGCTTGCATTATATCAGCGTTTGTAGCTAATACTGGTTGGAAATGGAAGTTGGAAAAATATAATGATAGCTTAACCATACCAAACAATGCCCAAAAATATAATCCAACTCAAGAAAACTCAGTCGAAAAAATATTTGATTACTTTTGGATTGGTCTAGAGCCAGTGCTATTTTCATTTATTGGAACTGAAGTCAAGTTGAAATTACTTCAAGAGAGTGATATTATTTTTACCGGAATATTAATTATAATATTTGGATTAATTGTAAGATAATAATTATTAATACTAAAATCTCAATAAGTCATGTTTAAGTAGTCTTATTTATTTTAAGAAAAAATATATAAATCCATCAAGGTAAACTCTAAATAACTTTGATTTATTTTAATTCGATTTAGATTCGTTTAATTGCAACAACATTGTCAATATGGGGAGCTGGATTTAGCCGTAAAGAATCTGTATTTATAAATATTGCGTGGTTGCCAAAAGCCACAGTACAGGTATAATTTAAGTTAATAAAATATGAGTACTGGCGTATTATATGTAAAAATTACATAGTCGATATAATTAAACATTTTTACTGTTTCCTTAGGCAGCTCTTGCACCCGTAGCATTAAATGCAGCTAGGGAGCATGGTAAAAGTGGTGACGAAGAACGGGCCATTCGGTTGTGCGCTATTGCAGTACTTTCCATACTTATGACTGCGCCCGTAGGAGCTCTTGGTATACAATGGTTTGGATTAAAATTACTGCCGAAATTACATGTACAAGAATAAACTAAAACTGATGGCACGAATTTTTTAAAAATTGACAAATAAATTTTTAACGTTTGCCTACATACGAGTTTTTATTATATTTTGCTAAATATAATGTCGATTCATCTTTGCATTACCAACAGCAATCATTACAATCACAAAAAATTATCCACTAATGTTAATTTGTATTAAAATCACACTAAAATTTTAATAATACATAGTAAAATTTATTCATATGCATTAAAATAATTCATAAATAATACAAATCATTTAAAGTTAACAGTTTCAACTTTTTAATAATGTTTGGAAGCTGTTATTTCCGTACATATTGGGTAATACTTGAGAAGTATAATATAACATCGTTGCTTATTTATTCACGTAATCATATACAAATAAAATTATAAATATTTCGAATTATTATGTGTATAAATAAAGAACACTGATATAAATTAACTAGGGCATTTAGTTTGATAAACAAGTAGTTTCATTTACTAATCGCTTTCAATACAAAGTGTTTTATGTATAGGTACAATCAAAATTAGCAGTACACGTGAAACATTTATGAAGTATGCATTTTGATTACTATTAAATACTTATGTTATACATAACACTTGCACGTGGATACGTTAATTTTTTTATCTACATTTAACATCAAAAAAATTTTAAAATTATAACAATAAAAAAGTAATAATGTCCTTTTTTAAGAAAAATGCAAAAAGCAACATGAAAAGTGATCAAAAAAGTCTAATAACTACCAGTACAAATTATGGCAGCACAAATTTTACTGGTAAAATTTTGATTAATCATTAATTTTCCAATTTTTATTTAAAATTGAAAATATATTTAAAATATTAATTTAAAACTAAAAACTTTAATTAAAATTTTTACTATTCATACTGTATATCAAACTTCTTACAATCTTATAGTTCGTCCAAAACATGTAATAATGTCTACAAGTATTTTCATCATATGATTTTATCATTTATAAGTGAAATATCATGCTTTATAGTGATAGAATTTTAGATAAATGTACCTTGAAAGTTTGGAAACCGGGGCTAGTTGATACACTTTTTACATTTTTAAAATCCGTATCAATAATATTTTAGATAGAGTAATGAATCTTTATCAATAGATTCAAAAAAAAATACTCAATCTATTTATATTAAATATAGATATCAGTCATACATGTTATTGCTGAAAATAGTATTTATGAGTAAAATTTTATTTAAATAAACAAAAACTTTTACATCGATTAATTTTATAATTTTTATAACATTTTTTCATTTATATTAAACAACTAAATAACTTAATATTTGATCGAATAAAGTAATATTTATAGTAATGAATTATGTCTTTAAAGTTTATTTAAGTTTACTTATATTAATGATTGGGTTTTAGCATTAGACTTAGGATTTAAGACTAAACTAAGTCAAAATTAAAGTTTTAAGAAGCAATATTCGACATGTGTTTACTTTACTCATCTGTATTTTATTTTTGTTTAATTTAAATTATTAAAATAATAAAAAATAAATCATGAGTTAAATTATTAAATTTTAATATAAAATTAAAAATTAGTTTTTACCTCAAAATTGCATTTTTGTCATAAATGACAACAATCTTAACATTTTTAAAATATATTAGGGACTCTTAAATAACATGATTATTAAAATCACAAGTTAATATCCTGATAATAATTGTTGTCTAGGAATTTAGAGTGTGTAAACCTATGTAAAATGTTTCCAGTCTAAGGCATTTCGCTGCCACCTACGACTTCGGCGGCAAACAGTTGCTGCCGGAGTCTTGATGTATAAAATTATTATTAATCCCTTTTCAATAAATCACAATTATTTGAGCCTTGATTTATTGATACTTGATTGAAAAACGTTAAAATTCAGTATAATATAATAAATAAATAATTCCTATAATGTCACATATGTTTTAATTTTAATTTGTACTTAATTTCATTATTGTAATATTCATTGTTCTTAAATATTAAAATGGTTAGTATTAGTTTAAAATTATGCCTAAAAGTTATACTTAATAATGAATGAAATATAGTTTTACTAAACTTATTTTATTGTATCCATTAAAACATATACGTTAGAGTTGTTATAAAAGGTGATCGATTGACTATGCATCAAACAAAATCTTTAATAATATAAAATATATTATAATTTTTTCTTTCCAGAAGTAAATATTATCCTCTGTGTTTCAAAAAAAAAAAAAAGTAAGTTAACTCGTAGAAAAGTGCACTTTATAAATGAAGATAAAAACTTTACCCCTCCCGCCATAATATAAAAGTACTAATATTTTTTAAAATACTGATACAATAAGATTTTAAAAATTTATCGACCAGTTGTTCTCTTAATTAGATAATTTTCTTATTTTTAACCTAGTTAAACATATATGTCTCCGTTTAAAAAACTTAAGTTGATACTACTTTATAAAAGAATGAGATAGGAATAGGAGAAATTTTGTTTATTTTTTTTTTGAAAGTTATAGAACATAATATCTATGATATACATTAACTTTTAAAAAGAAAAAAATTATAATGTTTTATACTTTAAAATTATTATATAGTTATCAATTAACTTTTATTTGACAGAATTTTCAATTATATATATTTTACTTTAGTATAATATGGAACTTGATATCTTCATTGATAATAATTATCAATGTCAATTATTGACATTGATAATTAAGAATTTATGATGTATCGTGTTATATTTGTATTATATGCTCATGCGCAGAAAATGTACACATATTACTAACTCATTGGTAATAATTGTAAACAATAGCTAAGTAATTAGCTTAATTTTTTGTATTGTTTATATATTTGTCTTTCTACATTATACAACTATTATACAGAGTGTTGAGTAAGTTGGAATAGCTAAAAATTATAGACTGCTAAATGTTAATATATTTTTTTTAATTATTATTAAAGGTGTTATAACATAGTGTATTAAAATTATTTGAAATTAATATTAAAAGTATAATATTCAAAACATATGTACAATTACCGCTAAATTATCGCATACATCATCATGTTTATGTACATAATAAGCGTACGTATAATACAAGCTTCTGAATCGTGATAGTTATTATAAGCATCATGTGTAATGTGTTAAGCATTATATATATTATAAAATTTTAAAAATAATGAAAATATAATAATAAAATTGCGAGTTAAATTTATCTAAGAATACTTGTAGTTAGTAGACTCCGCAACACTAAAATGTGTACATTGTTTTTAGTTTTTTTTTGTGTATTTATAAAGAAAAATCTTATTGAACCAATTTTCAAATATACATAGAAAGCTCAATTTAACCAATTTATTTTGTAAGTGGAATTGAAATTATTTTCTAAGTTGTACAATTGCAAGTTTTTGTAAGTAAGTGGAAAAGTTAAAATAGATCATTTTTCATGAAACACCAATGAAAAAATATTTCTATATATTGTTTAATGAAAGTTTTAAATTTTTAAATTTTTATAAATTTTAGTAACTAAATTCAAACAATTTTGATAGTGGTAAATGCAATAGAAAATATCTAATAAAATTTCTAAATAAACAAAAAATTACAACATTTTACAGGACCATTTTCTCAAAATAATCTCCAATTAATCAAAGATTAAAATATTTTTTATTTGAATTCCTAATAAAATATTGAACACATATAATATGATAAAAGTACATATTAATTGATTTATTTTTGTAAAAAGATTTACCACCTAAACAAAATTAAAACATAAAAGTGTAATATCTAATTAACTAAGAAATACATTTATACAAGCTTTGATTTTGAATAAATATATAATTAAACTTTTTTTAAAAGTTAAAATTGCAGATAAATAGTTATAAATTGAAACATTAGCCACACACAGTGGTTTATTAGGGATGTTTAAACAAATTTAAACATCCTCAATAAATTGTATACAAAATTTTAAGACTATAATAGAACATAACATAGTCATCATGATAGTAACAGAAGTGGATTGGAATTTAAAGAATACTTATACTAAAAATTAGACAAAGTTTATGCAAGGAATTGAAATACCCTAATTCAATTCAAACATTTTAAAAATATTAATTTTGTCAAATATTTCCGCTGGAATTATTGGTCACAGTGCTACGTCCATATGATCATTCGTTAAAAAGTGATTATCAATTTAATTTGGGTAGATACCATTTGTTATTATATATTGTATCCCTTTGATTTATATAATTATCCATAGAAAAACTTGCATGACTTACTTAACATCCCACCTAATACCAAAAATGAGGTAGAGATGGTCTTTTTAACTACTTATAAGAGTACATCAGATAGATACTAGAAGGTGCTTAGCACTCCTAATCATTAATTAGTACCTCTTCCCTCAATTTTTTTAAATTCACAATTAATTTAAATTAATTATTAAAAATTAATGTTATTGGACATATTTCAACTTTCTATCTGACGAATGTATCAATTTGAAAACATTACAGTTTTTGACTAAACTAACACCTATAAATCTACGTTATATATAAATTTGTATACTACAAAAAACTCATATTTAGATAACAGTAAAAAATATAAAAGTTAAACTAAAAATGGTTATTAAATAATATAATTTTTAAAAAAGTAAAATTTGATAATTGTGCTATTTTATAAGCTCACACATATATACAAGCAAAACATTTTAGTTCACGAAAATTTTATATTTAATTTTTTAAATAACATTTTATAAGAATATAAAATATAAAATTATAATAAATTTTATGATAATTATATTACCAATTAGTAAACACAATCAATTGGTTTCAACATGCATACTTAACTCTATTTTTTAGCGAAGATAATGAAATTTTTAGTTTGAGGCTGACCCTGGGGTTGAGTAAATTTAAGATGTGCCGGATAACCCTGATTTTTTTCTAACTACATGCCTGCTTTGACTCGGAAAAATATCTGTTAATAAATTGTCTCTCTTTATATGAACTCCGTTCAATTATACCAATCAAATTCAATAAAAATGATAATTAGTAATGCTAATATTGATTAACAATTAAACCAGTTAGTAATAAAAATTAGCTATCGAAACATGTGCGATAAGTGCATATTATTGTGATACATTTTATAATTAGATTTCATCAGAAACTGTAAAAAATTGTACTTCAGTTATTTACAATACAACTTTCAGATTCATCAGTTTGTAGCGTTGAAACTAACATCAGTAAATCTCCATTAAACATGGTAACTCAAAATATGCAATCACCACAAAGAGTTCAGTTTAATAGTGAAGATACAACTAATTCAGTTAACTTTTGTGATCGCCAACTGCCAGCATTAGTATCGAGTTTTTTAGCAGTTCTTCTCTCCATTGGAATTGTTTGGTACCTGTTTTATATTAATTTATCACCACACTTAACAAATTTTCCGGGAGGAAGCATTACTTCACTATACTTGCTGTATGTGTGTGGTGCTGCTGGAGGATGGCTCATAGATAAAATAGCTGGTATGCCATCATTATTAGGCATGTTGATTGCAGGAATTATTCTTCAGAACTGTGGGCTATATGTCGTTAGAACCGAATGGTGTGTTCACCTAGTGGCTATCATGAGGTAACAATAACACAATAATTTTATTTATTTTATAATGACGCTGAAAATAAAAAGTTTTACTACTCAATGACTTGTTTTTATTAATTAAGAAACAATGTTAATATAAATATGTTAATAATAATTGAGAATGAAAATTGAATGCTGATTTTTGATATTTTCTCAGGAAAGATAAAGAATTAGATCTTAATTTTATAAGAAGTGAATTCATAAGCACAAACATGGCTCATGAAAAAAAATACTAAAACCTTATTTGTAATGTTTTATAATATTGAATGTTGTATTAAGATATATATTTTTTGTAACAAATAAATAAAATAGAACTTAATTATTCGTCATTTATTGTTAACGTACTCTTGCGATCAATTGAAAATTGATAAGAACATACAATCTAATAAGAAGGCGAATATCTTTTTTATTTCCTGTTAGTTCAATTTAAACACTGAATGTACTAAAATTTTAGAAAAACATGTTTATAATAAAAAATATTAAATTTAAATTTTAGCTATTAATACTATAATCGCATACTAAATACAAATATTATAATTTATTCCTAAAAATACAACAAAATTATGTAATTTTAATGTTTTAATTTAATAGAGTTTTCCTAAAAAATTTTTTTTTTAATTAATAAAAGTAAAATTTAATAATTAAACTTACCATTTAATATTTTTTTAGGTATACTGTGATGATTTATACTATTAAATATTTCAGAATTTTTATTTATTAATATATAATAATTATCAAATATCGAAAAACTTACCATTTTATTTTCTGTTTTAAAATAATTGAAGTTAATAAAATGAATAATTTTATAATAAATTTTTGAGTTAATTTATGTTTAATTAACTCGGCGATTTAAGAAAACTTTTCCTCCTTTTCAACTGATAACTATTTTTAGAGACTAATTATTGAATTATTGTTTATAGAGAAGCGGCACTTTCAGTTATCCTTATTAAAGGTGGTCTAGGACTAGATCCTGATCAATTGAAACGGCTCAGTGTGGCGGTAATTAAACTTTCAATTCTACCATGTGTAGCTGAAGCGTTTGCCGCAGCAATAATAGCATATTTTATCATTCCAAGTTATTCGTGGGAATGGGCTCTATCTCTTGGGTAAGAATTCAACTTGTACTCAAGTATATTAAATTAATATATTTTATACCAATAAAACTACAGTATTTGATACACAACGTCTCAGGTTCGATATTTACTCACAGACATCTTCATTAGCTAGGCGATAAATATGTATAGTAATTAAATTCCACATTTTTATTTTTTTTATTTCTCATAAATTAAATATCTACTGTGAGTATAAAAAATTTTTAATTTTAGTTAAGTTTGTTACGCACTCTAAGTTTTTAATTTTTTTATTAATGTGTGTAATAATTATTTAAATAGCTTAGATATTACCCTAATATTAGATATATCTTTTTGGAAATCTGACTGTCCACAGAGGAATTAAAAATGGCAACTTTTGAACAAGAAATTATCTTTTGTAAATGTTCTAGAACTTCTGATACCTTTATATTTCAATATGTAGTAACGAGAGTGCCTTTTTTAAGTTTTTCGATTATATGGTAGTTTCGGTTAATATAGTTCTTTATGTGATTTTATAACAAGAAATGTTTGTTCGCGCGTACTTTCTTAACGCTATTGATATTTTCTCGAATTTGACAACGTTGTCAAACAAAGGTGATCCGGTGGTCTATATTTGGAATAGTAGACTGCGACTCACAAACAACACGTGTCTACATCTAATGCCTTAGCGCCCATTTAAAAGAGTAAAAATCCAGATAAGTTTTCCACGCCGAGATTTTTATGGCTGTTGCATTGTCAAACATCTATAAAATTATTTAAAGCTGATAGTGACTCTATAACAATTGGTTTGAACGAAAATAGTCTATCTAAATGTACAAACGATAATAGACGTTATTTTTCATATCACTCTATGAAATGCGTTATCATTGTTGGTGGTAAGCCTTTATTGTATATAGCTCCGAACCAGATATACATGATAATAATAATAGAAATCGATTGATTTTATTAATATTTCTGACGAAAACAAAAGACTTTCATAGAACGAATCCCATTTTTCTGGATTAGCATCAAATTTAAACAAATCGAAATTTGGTAAATAAGTGTTGTATTATGGCTGAGGCGTTATTAGTATGGGAAACTACTTGTGGAAATAGCTGGCATTAAAACTGAATTTATCTTAAAAATAAGCGTCTCCATTACATCGGTAACTGAATAATTAAAAAAATGGTCTATAAATATTAACTCAAAATAAAAATATCATGGTCGAATTCTTCGATCTTTGGTCAACCTGAGCTTCATCACAGCGTGTTGTTGTTCGCGTAACCAGAAAATTTTGTTGGCACAAACGAATTTCCAACTTTGACTTGACCATTTCTGCGACCACGTAGATTTCTTTAATTTATTGCAGTGAACGAATGTGTGACAGACGGTCAATAAATAATTAGCGCCTCGTTCCTCTCCGTGGTTTTGGTTTTCGCACTTAACGGCATGATTATTATCCAATAATAATAATGTGGGTTATATCTTACAACACACAATTATTTAAATGGCGGTAGACTTTATTAAACAAAATTATAACACGTAAATAGACGTATAAACACTAAAAGAAAATAAATGTATATACAGTAAGGAAAAAATAAAATAATCGAAGTAAACGTAATACACGATGACAACAGCGGCGGGGTGTAGCGGTCGTGTAGCGTATCGCGGACTAGACAGTCTGAACTGAACTAACTAAACTGACTGATTCTTCCGATATATATATAGCTCCGATAAGGCTCTCGCTAATTCTAGAATATTCTATACCCGCGTAGGTTATCTTATGGCGTTATCGAAGTTTCTCGAAGGTTTTTGATAACGAGAACATTCGAGAATATTCGTTGCGTATGTTTTGGTCGCTACAATAATAATAAACAATATCCTGAATCAAAAGTCCAAATGTATAAACGACTGCCTGATGTATATTACGATTTAGGAGCGATTATATACATAGTGCTTTGTGGGAAATTTTCTAACGTTTTTTTATTGTCGAATTAGGTTTGATATATTGTATTCTACTACAAATACAAATAATTTTACTTAGTTATTAATTTAAAAATTTTTTTTTTTATTATGTTAGTACCAGTCTTTGGTGTTTCGCATATTGATTAAACAATAAATAAAAACACCAATTTACGTAAAAAAGAGAAAAATGATAGACGGTTTATTATTTAAACACTTTTAGAATATTTACAATATATGCACCACTGCATGTACTAACTGTCTACTTGTGGCGAACTAACTTATGACTGATAGTTTGATTGACTGATGTCGCGTTTAGTGTTCTAGAATATTCTTTTTATGGGGCGATCGAGAACATTCGCGCTATATGCATTTTGTGTTGCCTATCTGTCGCGAATATTCTCGATTGTTCCATGGTCTCTACAAGTCTATAATATTCCAAATTTTTTGGTAACATGTTGCTATATAAATCAAATCTAAAAAAAAAATTATTTTAGTTTCACCTAAATTTAACAAAAAATATTTACAATTACAATCAAATTTTATAATACGCTTAATTGAGTAGATTTTTTTAATAACATTTTGATTGATTTTTTTAGTGAAAATTAATTAAGTTCTGAATACTTCAATTGTAGAATCTTTTTAAACACCAAAATTTTCTTAGAAATGATTACTATGATTTCTATTTAAGTGATCTATTACAATAAAAATACAAAAAAAATATTGAGCTTTTCTGATAAATTTACAGTAATTAGGAATTATACAATTTCCTGACTGCATATTAATCTTAAAAATACTACTTTTTTATTTCTCATAAAATTGTCTATTTAATAATGTTGATTTCAAACTTGAAGATGAGCTTAAAGTTATAGTAACAAATTTAACTTTTTTTTTATTATAAACTTTCAACAAACAAACTTTAAAATATCAAAAACAAATAATAATAAGTTAAAAATGATATTTTCCACTAATTACTTTTAAAACATCAAAAATCAAAATTTGTAATAATTTAAAAACAATTTTTTTTGTTTATAACTGTTTTTTTATTTTAATACATCATTTAAAAAAATATTAATCATTTTATGTATCTCTTGGTGTAGAACCCTCTGCCAGTCGTAAGAGGGGACTAATGAGGTTGTGTTAGGTCGACAGCCGCTGTAAACATTTTTGTCAAAAAAGTATGAGAAATCCTGAACAAAACTTGTCCAAAATCCGCCTAAGAAAATCCCATCTCGGATGTACGCGGGGACAACAGAAAGTAGTTAAAAACAGAGAAGGCCTAAGGAATAATGTGTTTGATACCAGCCGGACAATTTGTGTGGTAGCTATTTCACCAGTCATGTGTACAGGTCTACCCAACGCTTGTAGTGTCAACGGTGTAAGGACATCACCACTTAACTTTAAGCTGGACTCGTGTATAAGGGAGAAAGATAGATGCAAAGTAAGAATAGGTATTTGGAATGTTGGAACATTAACTGGTAGAAGTAGAGAATTAGTAGAAGTATTAAAGAGGAAAAAAGTTAACATTTGTTGTGTGCAGGAGACTAAGTGAAAGAAGAGAAATCAAGGGAAATAGGTGAGGGTTATAAAATAATGTAATCAGGTAAGTCTAGTACATAGGTAGGCGAGAAAGAAATCTATAGACTTGCAAAGATAAGAGAGAAAAGGTCTAAAGATTATCATTATATAAGGTGTATAAAAAGTGTTGATAATAAGGTACTCTCGAGTGATGATGATGTGAAAAAAAGGTGGAAAGAGTATTTTCAAAAATTATTGGATAAGGAGTACTCAAAAGAGACATTAGAGGATATCTCGTGGAATGAGGGATTGGTAGATTTAATTAGTGAGAAAGAGGTATGGGAGGCTGTGGAATCAATGAAAAAGAATAAAGCAATAGGGCCAGATGAAGTGCCAGTTGAAGTATGGAAAATATTAGGCGGTGTTGGCATAAGGTGGTTGAAGGAACTTTTAAATAAAATCTTATTAGAAAGGAAAATACCAAATGAATGGAGGAATAGTATTGTGGTGCCAATATTTAAAGGTAAAGCGATATTTATAAAGCTTTTTAATGTAATTCCACGATTCAAAAATTGTAACTTATCATTTAACTATTAATCAAAACGTGTGTTTTCAATGTTCATGAATCATTGATAGGAAATAGAATAAGTATATTAATTCATATTATCAAATATAAATTCAAATTCAAAAATTATGCCCACAATAATATTATTAATATTTAAAAATACATTTTACATAAAAATGTAAAATTATTTTGTGGAAAATTCATTTAGTTGTAGTTATAACACATTTAAACCTTACTAGGGCTTATGAGATAAGTTAATTTATAATTGTATGGTTTTAATATAACTATGGATTTTTATTTCTCGTTGACTAGATAAATAAAACCTCAGAAAATTACTTTACCTACTTTTAATAGTGTACTTGAACTAGTTGGTAATGCAATATTTTATAGTTTTATTGATAATGTTGTAATGTAAACTTAATGTTTTCACTGACATCAAGTACATTCTAAATATAAACTTTTTTTTTAAGATTTGTGTTATCAGCTGTTAGTCCTGCTGTGTTGGTGCCAAGACTTTTATGGTTGAAGAAAAATGGCTATGGTGAATCTAATGGTGTCAATACTTTAGTTATAGCAGCTTCAAGTTTGGATGATATTATATCTATTAGCGCATTTGGTGTGTTACTTGGATTAGTTTTCTCTGAAGGTGATTAAAGTTAAGCTGATCAAAAAATTACTTCAGATTAGAGTTCGATGAGTTTTCACTTTTACAGGTAATTTAACAAGTAAGATTATTCAAGGTCCAGTGGACGTAGGTATAGGCACAGCTTTGGGTATATTGTGGGGATTTGTTTTGATGTATATACCACCATCTCCTTGGGCTAACAATTATAACAAAGATCAAGCTAACGATAACCAACAAGAAACTACTGAGCAAGTAAAATAATATAAATAATTTAAGAAAACTGCGAAATAAACTTTAAAATAATTTTAATATTTATCATAATATTCTGAAAAATATACATGTTTTGGATGAAAGAATTTATTATTATATTATTGATATATATTAATGCTTATAAAATATTATAAAAATTATAATATTTTACATAGACTTGAGAAAATGACGACAAACAAGAGAGCTTTCATTTTGGGAGCTGGTGGCTTTTTAGCAGTAACTGGCAGTCAATTTTATGGTTACCCGGGTGCTGGACCATTGGCTAGCATAATATCTGCATTTGTAGCAAATACAGGATGGAAGCAAAAATTGCAAAAACATCTCAAAGCTTTGAGGAATTCGGAAGATAATGAAGTTCTGGAATATGAAAAGAAAGATCAAATAGAAGAAATTTTTGATTCTTTATGGTTTGCTCTACAACCAATTTTATTTGCGTCTATTGGTACTGAAATTAAATTTGATTTACTATTAGGCAATGATACAGTTTTGATTGGTTTAGTTGTGTTAGTTGGTGGCTTGATCGTAAGATAAAGATGGTAAAATCTTCCATATCAATTATTTTTACTGATAATTATTTTATTTAGATTCGTTTAATTGTTACATCAGCTTCAGTATCGGGCACAGGATTTAATTGGAGAGAAGTTACATTTATTAATATAGCGTGGCTTCCGAAAGCAACCGTGCAAGTACGTGAATATTAATGCTAAATTTAATTATCTATAGTTTACCGAGCTCAATCGGTAGTGTTTTGTACTTTTGTAAGGAGATACGGGTTTGATTACATTATGTTGTAATATACGTAAATTTAACCATCTTTTCTATCATTCATAGTTTCAAGTCACTGGTGGCAAAATTTATGCTAGCACTCAATTTTAATATTTATCAGGTTTGAGAAAAACCTTTTATTATATTTTTACTAAATTTCAAATAAAAACTAATAATTAATTAGTTATTTTATATTTTTACTTGACACAGGGGTGTTCCTAATTATAATTTAATTTCTGATTATAATATAGACAGAAATAATAGAACTTTGCTTTGTAAAAAATATTTGATGGTAAAATTTAGAATTATTCAAGAGTGCAATGATGATAAGTTCTATGTTTTTTAATGGTTAAAAATCGCATATTTATTCAATTTTGTCATAACTATATTGACTGTGTTTGGAAAGAACTGTTTAAATAAAAATAAAGCAAACATTATAATTATTTTTATTTATAAATTTTTGATTTGGATAGTCTTTGTACCAAAATGATGAGTAAAATTTTTTTTTTATAGTTTTAAACAACGGTTTTTTATATATTGTTTAAAACAATGTAAACAAATTAGCGTTTGATTAATTTAGAAGCTTACAATATTTTTTAATCGTAGAATTTAAAACAAAATGTTTTAAACATCTCAATTCTTATACTATTGTTAAAATTAAAAAAGGCAAGGTTCCGATTAAAGATTTTATTTATTTAACATTTAAATATATAATAACATTACTAAATTTTTACGTTTAACGTTAAAAGGGTTCGAAACATAATTCACTCCCATAAGTAAATTTTAATAAGAACAAATAAATACTTTTTTTACATGCATTTTTTGAACATATTATGTTTAAAAAAATTTATTTTAGTTGGGTTGGGTAATGTTTTGGGTTATAAGATGTATTATGTTTCATTATATTTTTCGTTTCCTGACATCTCCACATATTTTAGGTTTTTTTATTATGTTTTGACAAAATTTTCATGTGAAGGTTTTAATTAAAATGTTTTCTTGCTCTGATCTAAGATAACTATTTTGTAATCTAGGCAGCACTGGCTCCTGTTGCTCTGGATATGGCAAGATTGAAAGGAACTCACGAAGATGTGGAAGCTGCTACTCAGCTTTTGACAATTGCCGTAGTCTCGATATTGATAACCGCACCAATTGGAGCATTGGGTATTCAGTGGTTTGGGCCTAAATTATTAAGTAAACCATCTTAAATAATTATAAAATTACTTTTATTAAAAACTACAGTATTAATTTTTAATGTAATATTTTAAAATGTTTTGTACACTAAATAATAGGAATGTGATTTTTTTCCTTATATTATAATTTTAATATTTAATTATATTGAATTAATTTTAATTTATTAGCAAAATAAATGAATAGCATTTAGAACGAGATTCTATAATATGTAATCAACATTTAGATATATTATCGTTTTAAAAGTATATATTCTTGTTTGTAAACAAATTATTTAAAACAAAAATGTTTGACTTTTGAGATAATTTAAACGTCTCGTTTAAATTCAAAGGCGTAATTATAGTTTAATTATAAATTACCAATCATATGAAGAACAGTAACGAGAAATTAAATAATGAATTAATATTTTTAATCTTTATATAAATAATCTCTTTATGTATAAGAAAAATTATTTTTGTTACTTTAAAAAATTAACACTCATTCGTTTATTAAGGTTAGTAGATTAAACTTTTCTAATTAAGTTAAATTCATCAAACCACTCTCAGGTTACAATAAATATTCTGTTGTGACTATTTAAAAACTTCATCAAACTGCTGTAACTTATTGTATAATATTTCAATTTATTTTTTGAGTACAGAGATAATCGGTAACGACCGAGACTACGGTCACAGGTTTTTGGTTCGGTGGAATGCGATTTCATCAGCTAGAAAGCTCCTCTTCCTTGGCTTCTACTAGTCTTTTACAGTCAAATCTTCTTAATATGCTATCATACATTTATTTCGCAACTACTACGTGCCTTTTCAAATGGAGAGAGACGATTACCCCTAAAGCGACGCTAAGTTAGAGATTGTTTTCTAAACGTTGAATTCCTTCGGGTCTACTCCTTGTGCTCAACAGTATAATATGTATGAGTATGCGTATATGCATTATTTGTGTATCGTTTTATTTTTTTTCTTGCATACACATATTTTCTCCTGTCTTCCTTTATTCTTATTATTTCGACACTATGAATTTTTTAGAATATAATTTTTTTGCTTTGAGATACATAAACGATTACGTCCAGAATTCTTACCCTGAAGACATGTTGTATTTCAAATGTATCCAGTAAAGACTTCTACAATAAAAATGATTTATTTTCATGTACAAAATAACAAACAGATTGATGTTTTTTCATTTTATGATTAAAATAGATTTTTAAGAACTTGTAGTATTTATTTATCAGTTGAGAATCGAAATATATGGACACGTATCAGATAGTCTACGATATCCATTTAATTTTTTTAGAAATAATATTTTTGTAGTATTGTGTTGAAAAGCTAAGATGTTCCCTTTCTCCCGACTGAAATCCTGGCTACTGCCAACAAATATACATTTTTATTTATTTATAATATTTCAACTTTAACTCGCTAATAAACTTAATTGTTCTAAAAATTGCTAAATTAAAGCAATCTTTGCGTGCTTATAAATTAACTTGATATTTTCATAGTCTTAAAGTATAAAAATACTTTTAAAAAACTAACGCAAAATATTTAATAGATCATAAATTGTTAGCTTTGTCAACATATCGTAGACCACGTTGTATAATTTTTTACTAGTTAAACAATTCTTAACAAAAAATAATATTGATGAAATATAATTTTAAAAAAATAGTCTTTGTGATTGTAAAATTTTTTTTCGAAACTAAAAATATAATGGAAAAAATGTTGCAATAAACTATGTGATGTTTATTATTATTGTACAGCACGACTTAAGGCAGTTAGTGCACGTCTAAAAGATTTATCGGTTGGTACCGTAAATGTTAACCACCTTCTCTTCTTTCTTCTAATGTAATAAATATTAATTTATAAAAAGAACCTCCACATAACTATTTAAAGAGAGTAACTCCTACAAATTTCTCTTTACAACGCTTACTGTTATTTTTCACCGTCTTGGTGTTTGCTAGTATTATAAACATAATGTTATGAGGAAACGTTACCGAGTAATTGGGATTAAGATGTGCACGCTACAGTGAACTTTAGCCAACACTGCTAACTGGGTATACAGCGGAAACAAAGATTATTATTGGAACGTGGTGTGTTTGACTTGGCGATTATTATAACGTCATGTGTAGGGATGAGTAAAATACAGGGTCAGATAGCGTGAAAAAACATCAAGGTAGATGTGACGGATTTAGTTATTAATGAGCTTATCAAAAAGTTTGACGAATAATTTTGAGGTCGACGAGTCGAATAAAATTGATAACTTTAGTATATGCATTATTAATGTCACCACCCATTGTTTGAAACTCGCATATTTGTGCTTTCATTAAATGGGATACTTTTCCTGGTTAAAGCAATGGAATAAAGTATTGGTATATATAATTTTAAATTCTTATTTCAGTTTTAATATAAAATAAAAAATTATTATTTTTAATTTTCATGACAACAATTAATTATATTTGTACAAAGAGGAATTTTTTGTGCTTTTTTCCATTAAATTAATTTTTGATCAGTTTTATATTAAAATTGAAAATCTTAGTCATCTTATACAATTTTTAAATGTAATAAATGGACGATCAAACTTCTAAAAACTGGAAGTATAAGTGCAGTAGAATAGCTACCGTAAAATAATTTTGCACGCAAAGCTTAGTATGTTAGTCCATAAAATAGTTTCTGAAAATTGGCCGACTGTTTGTATTACGACCTGCATGTTTCGGAAATGAGACAAATAAGCAAAACACTTATTTGGCTATGTTCCAATCATGTTTTCAGTTAAAATACACGATCACATTTCATCGATACTTGTACTAACAGTTATAGTAGATGTCTTAAATCTCGACATAGTTTGCTAGGTCAAACAATTTTCAGAAACAAGACCCCACGAATGTTACATGAAAAATAAAAATGTTAATATAACGAAGTAAAGTGCATGCCATTTTTTTCCTACGCTAAATTTAATGGTCCTATTTATTTATTTATTTTTATGTCTAAATATAGCTTAATTACCCTAAATATTTATCTAAATTTTATTAATGTTTCATTATAATGCATAAGTTTTTGAATCCTATAGAATTTTTAATTTTTCAATATTTTCTAACCTTCAAACAGCTCTTATAAGTATTTATCAAAAACAAATTCAGTTATTAAAATTGTATGTAATATTGTATTGTATAAAATAGTATTTATAAATTTTATATTAGAGAACTCCGCATCACAGTGGTGGTAAAATAAAAGAGAATTAGGTGATAGATTCCCTTAATCAGCATACATTTTTAACATTCATATCACAGTGTAATCATTTGTGTTAAAATCCTGTATATAAGATTAGTTTTTCTATAAAATACATTGCTAAGGAAATTTTGATTTTTGCTTTTTTTTACCTAAGATGTAAAAAATTTTAAATACATCTCTGGATATTGACTGACATACTTCTATGGGCCATATTTATAAGATGACAAATGTATCATTCGTGTCACTTAACGTTTTTTGGACATGAAATGTACAATTACAGACGAATGCATTATGCATGTTTTTATGTATCAAGTAATAAACGCATATGAATTAAATTTTCCGTTAGTGGGGTATTTAAGTTATATCTCAAATCAAATGTTGAAATTTATTTAATAATGAAATGAATCATACAAGAAAACAATCTTAATTCATAATTAGGTTCATGATTTTAAAAGAATAAACTAAATTTAATTAACATGAATGATGGGTTATAATTTACAATTTCATATACATTTATGTGAAATACGTAGAGCTGTAATAATTGGTTGATTTATCTTTAAAACAGTTTTAAGTAAAAAATTAACATGTTTATATTAAATATTACTTTATTAATTCTTAGAGGAAACTGTTTTCATCTAATGTTCTATTTTTATGTCAAAGCTGTGTATAATCTTTAACTTAAATTTATTTATTTTAAATAGAATATTATTTTTTTTAAGATAATGATCGGATCTTGAAGAGAAAGAGTTGAATACCCGTAAATATATAAGAATAGTTGAAATATCTAATAATTAATATACAGAAAAATTAGGATTTTAAGCCATTATTATCGAATTTTAATATTAATAATAAATATTATAATTATTAATCAGTGAATTCAGTTATTGTGCCTAATCATCTCGAAATCAATACTCATATTCCCTCAAAAGTTGTATTATTTTTATTAACTGTTCATTAAAAATAATAACAGTATCAAAAAATTATCATTAATCTATAATAATATTATAATAGAAAATTTGCCGTTTAAATTAAATATAGATAAACATTTATAAACAGTGACATAACTGATGCTAGATTTCTCAAAAGTACATACAGTGAAGTGTAAATACTCTTTCGAATCAGTCAATTGCATGATGTAAAAATAATTGCCACACAGGATTTGAGATATTAAATAGTTGGGATAAAGGCGAGAAAAAGAAGATTAAATGCGGATATTTAAGTTACCTTCCTATATGCTTATACCGTATAACAAAATATAGAGATAACACTTTTTTTAAGTTTTTAAAAATTGAAAAAGTTCTATTTTTGATATGTATGTATCAAGTTTTAACCTCTCCCCCGTGGGGAAACAAAAGGTCAAATTTAGAAAAATATACAAGTAATATAAGGGAATAAAATCTTAGAAATTTATAAAAAAAATTGTTTTGATTTATCACTTTTCAAAAAATTATTTCAATTTGAATTGGAAAAGTTTTAAAAATGTCAATATTAATGATATGACAATTCACAATTCTTTATTCAGAACTTCCCCTATTTTTAGGGAACTAGTAAATTTTTTGAAAATTTTGAGGTTAAAGTCTAAACTGTATAAAATTTGTGATATTTTGACGTATTGTTCATCATAATTGAACTAGTCAGATCTAAGAATAAGTGGTGACAGGCAAATAAACAAACACTATTAACATAAAAGAGGAAGGCTGAAGTTGGGTAAAAGAAAAGATACGAAAAGAACAGTTTTCTATTGTAAGTTCTCAAGTTTTAAAGCTAATTATTAATGACTAGTATTTTAGTCGTAATAGAAAAAAATAAGATAAAAAAAGTTATTATTAATGATACTAGAAAAATAGAAAAAAAAACATTTAACTATTACAAATTTTGAAACTTCACGTGAATTTTACTTCAATTTTAAAATAGACATTATTTTCATAGTTCATATGATAATTTTGGACACTAATATCATACAGGAGAGTGGAGTATAAAAAATATAGCTAAAATGTTTAATAACATCTGTTTAAATAAAAAGTTTTTAAAAAATTCAAATTATTAAATTTTTCTATTCTATAAAAGATATTGGCCAGTTTGATTGATTGTTAAGATACATGTTTCTTTAAAATGAACATGAAAAAAAACTTTACTACATAAATTTAAGATTATAAAAATAAACTTTTTGTATTTGAATATGAAAAAATGTGTTGAAAATACATACACAAATAAATATTAAACTGTAATATAACAATGCATAATTAAATAACTTTCTATAACCCTGGTACCCAATAACAGATTATTTTTATCATTAGTTTTATGATGTTCAATAAAATATCTTAAGTTGAGAAATTGAGTCATTGTTGTGGTTGGGTTAATCAAAGTTTTAATATTTGACCAAGCAATTATAACTATCCAAGTCATTTTGAATTTGAATATATAATAATAAAAATGTATAACAATATTTAAAGAATAAAGCAACATTGAAATTATGATAACAATATAAATAACCATTTTTTAAGCTGATATAGTATTTTAAGTTTATAAATTGTTTTGTAATGATGCACACGCCTCTAACAACTAAAGGATTTAAGTGTTTAGATTCTATGACTTAAAAAAATCATAAGACAATTATATATTATATTTACCCCTCTTATTAAAGATTCTCCTAGATTCTCATGCAGATCCACTTCACAATTTGGGAACTGCTGATTCATAACATGGTATAATTCAAATATCCAAAATTTAAGTTAAAGAATACCATAAACCTTAATTTTGCCTAATAAAAGTACATCTATAGTTGAAAAATGTTTAAATTTTGGAGTGAGGGTATTTTAATAATTTAAAAGTGTATCATCAATACAATGTATTTTAACGTTTATTAGACATGATCTTAGTTGTCGTGTTATACAAATCAATCAGAAGTAAAATAAAAAAACACATCACTCGCTAGCAATGCTAACTTCAGCGATGACACCAGGTTCAAGATTGACACTAGTTATTTGTTTCACTTTGTCACTAGGACATTTCAAGTCAATCACTCTCTTGTGAATGCGCATTTGGAATCTGTCCCATGTTTTGGAACCTTCACCACAAGGGGTTTTTCTCGTTGTGATACGTAAACATTTAGTTGGCATACGAACTGGTCCTTTTACTGGTAATTTCCTTTTCTTAATATCGGCAATCATTTCAGAACATACTATTGTAAATAAAGTAATGTAATCTTTATTAAAAAAATAAATTATAAGAAAACTGATAAACATACCACTTTCCAAACTCTTAATATTCTTAGAAGTAAGTGTTATACGGATTTTGTGTCGTTTCTGATCAGTTGGTGTGTTTTCTACATCTTTGAATTCTAATTCCTAAAAATTAAATTAAAAAATACATATTTTATACAATCAAATAACTTAACTAAGACTAAAATAAAATATTGCATTAATGTTAAAATAAAACTCCATATTTTTGTTAGAATTATTGAATACTTTAAATTATAATGGTATTATATTATATTATATATATTAAGTATTTCAAGCACTAGGAATGTAAATATTAAAAATAATAATAAATAATTAAATTTTAATCTGCTATTACTATTTAAAACATTTTAAAATAAATATACTGTTATACAGCTTCATTCATGATGATCATATTAAAAAGCACCTATTTTTTAAACTTAAAGAGTTTAGATGGAGATTACCAAGATTATTATTATACTATTCTGAACCAGTTAATGATTGCATTAATATTCAGTATTTGTTTGTTTAAAAAACTAAAAAACAAATTTTGACTCAAGAGAAATATGAATTTTGCTAATTATATATTAGCAAAATAAAATTTTTTAAATAAAATTACTAAAAAAAAAGTAATTAAGTAATAAATAATAATATAATAATTTAATCACATATTTTACCAGTCTTATTTTTAGTATAATCATTACAATTAACTATCTTACAGTACTTAATAGTTTCTCTTACTTAAACAAAATTAAATCATAAGATATTAGATTTTCCATATGATCAAGAGGCTTGTAGATAGAAACAATCGATAGATAAAAAGCCATATAATTCAATCGTTAATAAAAATAAATTATAAGTCATTTTTAATAACTTTTCGAACGATACTGATGTAGTATTCAACAGAATACATTTGTAATGTACTTAACTCGAAAATAATTTTTATCATTAATTCAAATAAATATTTAATAATAATAAATAAATTTAATAGAACATGACCAATTTTAAATTAAACTGATTCAAAATTGTGTACTATAATATACAATGTAAATCATCTATATAGTTTTAATATATACGTACGAATTCAATAAAAATTTAAGTAATGTTGATTATCAAATAATTAGTTGAAAATTTTATACATGCAACTCACCATATTGAAAAAAAAGAATTTTCAGTACCAATTGAATGATGAAACTAAAATATTTAAGTTATTGTGAAAACACAAATTACAATGTTAATAATTCTAACGTGGAAAGTTAACAAGAGAGAAAATCGTTCGATTATATTTTAGGTTATGTTGATGTTGGATTATAATGAAGTTTTTTAGTACCGCTACCTACCGTTTTGTTATACATCATTGTAGGAACATTTCACAGTGTAGCCACTACCAAACTTGCCATTTATGGGAACCAACTTGTAAGAATGTAATAGAATTTGTTAGAATATTTTAAGCCGGCAAATATGAACACAATTTTTATTTAATTCGTTTATGATTGCAATTTTATCAATTTTCAATGATAGTTAATTCTGATAAAGTTAAATTTAATACTTAACGAATATATAGTTTTAAATTCTTAACATCATGATAGACATGGAAAGAGGCAAAAAATTCAACTATGTAATCTAACAAGTAATTAATTTTAAATATTTAATTGTAAGACTTTTTATTTATTAATTATTTATAAAATATTTTAAGTGATTATTTTTAATTTGTATTACGCACAGTAATTATTAATTTCTAAATATTTTATCTCACCTTAAGTTAACCTTTACTTTACTATAAAAATAGTAATTTTGCAAACCATTAAAATGTTTATGCTTAGCTCTACGATTTCTAACACCAGTTCTTTGTCTTAACATTGATGTTTTAATTAAATAAAGATGAATAAATATTATAGCTTATATTTATTATCTTAGATTTTTCCTTAATGATATCAAACACAAAATGACTCAATTGCATAATATAAATTTCAAATACTATATTTACACATAATACTCTATTAGTCAAAGACAAAATTTCACTTGATAACAGTTTGATAGGGAGAAACAACTGAAACATTTGACTCAATCTAATTTTCACTGAAAAGACTGGTCAGTTTTTACTTTAAACTAAGTTTCTCTCACAATTTAATATTCAAAGTTATGTAGTAAGAATCATTGTTTATTTGATAAAAAAAATGTTTTTCTGTAAATAGATTAATATTTTATTGACTTATCATTTTGTATTATTAATAAAAATTTAATTCTAATGTTTGTGGTATAATTAAGTGTAAAAATTGTTTATTTGTCATTTACTGTATAATTATAAAAATTCATTTTTAAAATATAATCTAACATAAAAAAGTATTTCATAATTGTTTAAATTGTCAAAAGAAAAACATATTTTTGTAATATAAGTAATAGTATATGCAGGTTCTTTAAATGTTTTGCTAGCACAAAAAAAATCTTTGTGGAAAAGTGACCTGTAATTAAGTGATTCTTGAGGCAAGTTTTATTTCCCGTTCTTGCTAATAAATTGAGAAATTTTTAATTATTTTAAGATCAAACAGGTAAATATACTAAATGCTAATTGTATAATTTTTCATAAAAATTTTATTTTCGCTTAATATTTATAATTTTATTTAATTCAACGTATATATTTATACTATCTTTCAATTAGGTTCAACTATAAAGTACTAACTATTTAGTAACAACATAATACATGAAAGTATGATGTACAATAAACATAGATAAAGCATCAACATAACACTATACATATAGTTCATATTTTAAAAACAAATTACTTAATAGCTTCATACAACTTTTGATGATTTCATAAAATATAATTAATTAATTTAAAATAACTAAAATTCTGTAAAAATTACTTATAACTAGTAAATTATTATAATACATTTGTAGATAAGATTAAAATAGTTGCTGTATTGAAAGCAAGCATATAGTAATTTATGAGGTAACTTTATGTATTACATAAAAAAAAATATTACTATAATAAAAATAATATAAAAAATGTAAAATTTGATCAATTTTTCAAATTGTTTTTTTTTTAAATAATCAGAATTATATAATTTTGTATAAAAAAAATTAATATATTTTATTCATGAAAATAATTAACTGTAATTAAATGAATAATTATTCAGTCACATTAATCATTCATTAAACAATTGATTTTACAGAAATTGTGTGTAAATTCATTTTTGTAGACATTTGTATTTAAAAAACTGTATGCACTTTTAGTAATTATAATGAAGTTAATAACAATAAATTAATTTTATCTGCTTATTTTACATTGAACAATGATAATTTAATTTTAATATTATGAATATATTTGTGTTATTTTTATTGAAATAAATATTTTATAACATAAAAATTAAAAAAACATGATATTTTAGTTTTGAAGCTAATATTTTTATCATTATAGGTTAATTTATTATTATTTTGTTTTATTGTTAATGTAAAAATAAATATGAGTTTTTTCAATAAAACAATTATTAACAAATAATTGTTTGATGAAAAATAGGTGGGTTTTTAAGCTTTTATAGATAAAATCCGAGTTTTCGCCAATATTTATACAAATATATGTATTATTGTAAGGGTAATAAATCAGAAATAATTATAAAAATGTATAGTTAAAAGAAAAATTCAACTAAACTTATTTTTTTTTTTATATTAAATAGCTTAAAATTGTTTATGTTTACTTATATCCTTTTTAATTTTTAAATAATTTGTTTCTATTAATGAATAATTATTTTTAATGTTTGTTTAAATTAATATCTTATTAAAGATTAATTAATTAATTGTATTAGCCTTTAAAGGAACACATGATTTTAAGTCCAATTTACCTATAATTTAAAAGTAAATTCCATTAAAAAAAAAAAAGAAAATAAATTAGAACTAATTTAATTATATTTTTAATTAAAATAATTTTAAAAATTTTACCATAATTCAGATTATATTTAAAACAATGTGTAAATAATAATATTGCTATTTGTAATTTTATGAGAATAACTGAAATTGGTTTACATTTTTAAATAAAAAAACTTAATTAATACTGAAATATTAAAATTTAAGAGTTAACAACAACCGTGTTATTATAATTATAATACGATACTTATAAATTAAACATAATATTTACATTTTGATCATAATTATTCTAATAACTAATGTTTATTCACAAATCAGTCAAATATTAGTCTATCAAGTTCCACCAAAAGTGGTAAAATGTTTACCTATTTTAACAATGACTATGTTTTGATAGAATTTAAGAGCTTTCAGTTTTTTTCTATTATACAAAATTTATTTTATAACACAAAATAAAATATAAAATAAAAATTGTTTTTTTAAGTTATGGCATTAATTTTTACATTTTCAAATGTTATTAGAGTATTCAAAAAATGGGAGTGTATGATAGTATTTCTCTTTTACTTTCAATTTATCAAACAGATCATTCTTTTAAAAATAGCATACAACTCTATATAATATTATGAATTAATAAAAATTTTTAAATTTTAGTAACATCTATATGTTTTGTTGGTTTAATTCTTGTGATGTGCAATGATAGTAGGTAGTATTTGTAAGCCAAAAATCAACCTACTGTTAAATAAGTATTTCAAATACTTATAAATTTATCTACATAACATTTTCAACAATATTTCACTAAATGTAAAATAAATAAAAAAATTTATTAAAAAAAAGTTTATTTGGACGTAAGATTTGTTGTACAATTCTATTTACACGTCTCGCAACATTGTATCTGGTATTGATGCAAGTGACACATGTTCATTTGTTTAATGTTATTACAATTATGTTTGCTGTGGTCTTTACAATCATCATCTGAAACATTTAATTAATTTAAATTAATTAAATTATAATTTAAAAATTATATTAATATTTTATTTATTATATCTCAAACTATAAAATATATCCTATTAAAAAATACTAGTTCATTATAAATAAAAAACGTAGAATTTTTACAAAATAAAAATGGAATATTTTGAATAATTGTTTTTTAAGTGTTTGGTTTCAAATTAAGAAGGTTTTAATAATTTTTTAATTATTAAAAGAATAGTTAATAAATTAAGGTTAAAACGTTTAATTTAATATCTTAATTTTACCTTACTAGTTTTTATCAGTGATGATAAAATCATTAATCTTTCTATATTAGAATTATATTTTATAGCCTTTGTTAAAATATTAATCATCTCAACAATTATAAACAAATAGTAAACAGCACAACCGTAAAAATATTATGTTATAAAGATACGACAATAATTATTAGTAAACTCTAATATAAAGAAATGAAACATATCTTTTTAAACATCAATAATAAATAGTTAATTTAAGGTTTCCAGTTGCTACGTTAATATAATTGTATTTTTTTTTTTGAAAAATATATATATACTAGGATGGAGGTAAAACACGGGTATTATTTTTATCAATGACCATTTCCATCCATACACTTCCTCCCGTCTAGATATAAAAACGTGATAAGGTATAAGGGACGAACATAAAAAAATTCTTTATAATCGATAAGTTGATAAAACATAAAATAAACCAAATACAAAAACATGCTTACTAAATTATTTAACTAAAATATTAAAAGTGTTTTACTTAGTTGACAAGGTTGCCCTGTGCAAGTTTTCATTACTGGTGGCCTAGGTTGATCTCTACAAGCTGTACCGGCTGGTTTGTTAGTACCAAACCAAACACATTGTAATATTCTATATCGTAGTCCGTCTTTCCCACACGTTGCTGTGCACTAAAATATAATTACATAAGTTTTAAAATTTTTAGACTAAAATAATGAACAACTTTTAATTATTTTTATTAGTTCACTTTTTTTTTTAATAAAAGCCAGTTTTTTAAATGCAATAACTTAAACACCTTTAAGTTACAATTCTGAAAATAAATTTTATTCAATTAAGCATTATTCTTTTAAATACTATAGAATCGATACTTGAACACACTATTTTAATGTTAATAATGATTAAGCGTTTTCGTTATTATCAAATTATACTTGTCATGATATTATTATTAAATAAAATATTATTATGATATTAATAATAAAATGGTAGCACAATGGGGTCGTGGTACAGTATGGATGAGGCATAGTTGGGACAAGTATAGATGATATACGACAGTGATTAAAATCACTATCATAAGAAATGCTTCGATGCAATTCTGTAGATGGTATTTAATTTTAAGAAATTGATGGATAAATCCAATAGCAAAATTAACTCCTATTTTTGTTCTACTTCGTTTGCCATTTGCGCCTAGTTGCAAATGATGCTATTTTGAATCGCCCTTGTGGGCAACTAAAGGTCAGATTTTCAAAAAAATTATTGCAAATGAAAGAAAAATACCTAAGGTTTCTGTATAAAAAAAAAATTATTTTGGTACGTTCATATTTCAAAAAGTTATGGTAGTTTTAAGAGAAAAAAATATCAAAATATACCGATTTTAAAAATTGTAATTTTTTAGGGGATTATCTCCATTAACAAGGAATGATTTTTTTTTTTTTAATTTTTAAGGGTAATTTCTTCAACTGGATATGATTTGTAATTTTTGACGTACCATTGAGATATATCGGTCCAGTGAGAGCTGAGAAAAAGTAAAATAGTAAATTTAATACCTTCTCAGATTCGCATCGAAGCTAAAAAATATTGCAACAGTGTTAATGTTTCACTAATTATTATTTTATGGTTCATACTTACGTCTGACCACTCTCCAACTTTCCATGTACCTTTACACTGATCATTGTAACATTCTTTTCTATTAACTGGTTTTTCAATTCCTTTACAGGAAGCATCTAATATGGTAGCTTCATTTGAGTTTTGGCAGTAAACATCTCGTCTTTGCATAGCTAATTGAAGTCATTACATAAAAAACTAGTTAAATTTGAAATTTAGTTAATTTTTATATGCTTACCAGTATTCCAAGTAAAACATTTAGACTCCTCGCATGGACTCCATTCATTAACTTTCCATTGCGGGCAGTCATTGGTTTCACATTTTTGTATCGTTGTTGGAGTAGGTAGTCTAGCGTCTTCACAAAGATTATTATCTACATTTTGAGTCATATTGTTAAGTTTTACCATGCAATGAGCAGCTCTCATCTATAGATATTTGAATTTTTAATAAAATATTTTTGAGTACCGTTTTCTTAAAAAAAAAATGTTCAAATTTTCACATACTTTTACTGGAAGTTTTTAACACGTACAATGTAATGGAAAATTCTGATAAAGAGTGATGAATATATTGCATTTGTTTAAGAATTTCAATACTTTATGTCAAAAATTACAGTACTTGCGTGTTAAATAAATGTGTAAATATACTGATGTATGGGAATTTTTGAATCATTTCTTATAGTGTGGTCTGTGGTTAAACTTAGAGCTGTTAAATATCTATTATTATTTTAGTTGAATGAATCTACAGCTCTAGTAAAACGTTTATAAGTATTGTTAAGAAATACAAAATATTTGTTCACAAAAAATAAATGACGATATCTGTAAAATATTTAATTCCTCCAAGTTTAACCATCTAGCTGGTTTAATTGTCGTTACAGAAAAAATTGGTGATATTGGTACAATATTAAAGTATCATGAGAAAAACGATATCTTACTTGAAAACCGTTTCCTCCGCATGATGGTGAACATTCTGACCATTCGGTTATAAACCATTCAAATTTTACACTTTTTCGGTCACCTAAAAAGTTGATATAATGATAGGAGTAGGTTTTCAGAATGATTACAATACATTTATTATTTTATTTATACATTAACTTGGTTAATAATTTTAAAAATACTTCAAAAATTATTAATTAAAATAATATAAATGAAATTTCAATCATATGAATGCATTTATTACCTTTGCCTAATAATACCGGCTGCCCAGGAGTGTCTTCCTCAGTAGTAATTTCAATTGATTTTGGATTAACTGGTTCTTCCATAAACATCTTATTGACTTTGGAGTTACTTACAGAATTTCTTCTCTGAAAGGGCCATAAAGCCTGAAAATTTATTTGATCATATGCTTAAAGTAGTGTAAAAATATAAATACATATTTTTTTAATAATTCTAAAAACTATAACACGTTGCATAAAATTATAATTAAGTCTATTGAAAAAAATATTGTAAGGACATAACCAAAACATGCATTTTTAGTCGGAAGTGTGGTATTTCCTAAAATTAATTAGACATTTATTTTGTTAAACAATATGTTTAACAAAAAGGAATATATTAAAATGAAAAAAATTAATTTTTAGATGAAGATTTCTACCGTTTTATCTATCCTTTGATCTCACCTTAAGGTTATAAAGAAGACTGTGTAGGTGAGGCAAATTTCGTGAACTTCCCGAAGTAGTGGGTTTTGGGGAGTCATCTATTACACTTTTTTCCGATCCCTGTTTACAGATATAAATACGTATCATGTACTAACTTACTTTACAAACAAATTATACTTGTTGTTATTAATTAACTTACACATAACAATATCTAGTCATTTTTATAAAAGTTATTGAGGTTTATATCACTTTACTATTATTTTAATTATATTATCATACCCTTAAAAATAGTGAGAGCGTTTTTGCTTACCACATGAGAAGAAAAAGAGGTGCTCGGAGGAGCTTGTGTCGTTTTTAATTTTCCTTTAGATTTATGTTTCGTTTCGCGATTATGTTCTCCTTTGATCTGCTCATGACTAATATCAAATGATGGTTCTATACCTTGAGGATTTGAAAAAGATGGATTCACGCCTATAAATAAATTCGATAAAATTAAAAATTATGTGTATAATATATACTATATATTAATGTATATCGTTTTCAAAATATTTTACCAGGATCTTGTTGATTCATAGGTTTATCTATTTCTTCGGAACTGGGAAATTCTCCAGGACGTGGTTTTATACTTATATTCATCGTAGCTCGAACATTACCAGCTAAACATAAATAATTTGCTGATAAAAAAATCGGAAACAACAAAAGGAAGAAAAACACAAAATTATGTAGCCAATTAGGTATCTCTGTAGATAAGGAATAAGAATACTTCTACGGCACCTCTGCTAGGCGTAAGAGGCGATTAATGAGGCTGCGTCAGGTCGACAGCCAATGTAAAATTTTGTCATGAAGTATGAGGCATCTTAACCAGAACTTAAACTGATCGTCCCATCTCGAATGTACGCGGGGACAACAGGCGAGAGGAAATAAAGTAGTTAGAGACGAAGAAGGCCTAAAGAATAAAGTGTTTGATACCAACCGGACAATTTGTACGGTAGCTATTTCACCATTCATGTGTACATACATACCCAACGCTTGTGGCGTCAACAATATAAGGACGTCATCATTGAATTCCAGACTGGACTCGTGTATAAAAGAGATAGATAAATACAAAGTAATAATAAGTACATAGAATGTTGGAACATTGACTGGTAACTATAGAGAATTCGTAGAATTCTCTATAACTACCAGTGCTAATTGAAGAGGTGAAAAGTTTATACTTGTTATATACAGGAAACTAAGTGAAAGAGAGAGAAAGCTAGGGAAATAGGTGAGGGTTATAAAATAATATATTCAGGTAAGACCAATACGAAGAATGGTGTAGGAATAATGATGGACGAGGAGATGAAAAGTAAACTAGTGGAAGTATGTAGGAAATGTGACAGAATTATAGTCATAAAATTAATTTTGAGGAAAAGATGTTGAATGTGGTAAGCGCCTATCCTATGCACCACAAGGAATATCTGATAATGAGGATAGGTGGTGATATGAATGGATATGTATTTTCAATGTAATTCCATGAATCAAAAATTGTAATTGATCATTGAACTATTAATTAATTAATTAATCAAAACGTGTGTTTTCAATGTTCATGAATACTTGATAGAAAATAAAATAAGTACATTAATTTGAACTCATCAAATTTTTCCTATGAGTTAAAAATTATGCCCCCATTAATATTTTTACCAAATTAATATTATTGTATTTATCTTAAAGTAATCACTGTATAAATATAAAATTATTATGTGGAAAATTCATGTAGTTGTAGCTATAATACATTTAAACCTAACTAGGGCTTATGAGATTGGTTAATTTTTAATTGCATGGTTTTTATATAACTATAATGTAGAATATGTAATGAAGATGTAATCGTTTAAGTATTTGTTTTACAGCTGGAATCTGGTTAAAGAAAATAACTATTGGTAATTAAAATTTGTTTTTCATGTTTCCCTTTCTATTCACGCATGAATAAATGATTCACTTAAAATATATCATATTTTAAAATATCCTACCAGTACATGAGTATAATCCTCTATCTGAGTAAGTAGTAGACCGAATCTTCAATATGCCTTTTTTTGTAATTCTAATTTTTTTTTCAGTTTGTAAAACTTGATTGTCTTTTGTCCATTGAATTTTTGACCTATTAAATAGACCAATACTAGATGAATTATTAAATTAGTTTTTTTGGTATTCATTATTTATCTTGCCTGTCATATCTTTTTACTGGACATCGCATTTTAATTTCGACGCCTCTATATATAGTAGCCTCTCCGCCTACTTTGAGAATCACATCTTCTTCCGGACTTCCTTGTTCATATTTTTGTGCAACATCAGAAACCATAACCGCTTCTTCCTCTGTATTGCACGCATTAGGGTTACACAATCTACTGTCAAGGGGTTTGTCTCCTACACAATCAGTGTCCGGCTTGTTTATAATGTGTCCTTGAGCTATGCGTTGCACACATTTCACTTCTCTTGTTTTTACACCACCATTACATTTTTTACTACACTATAATAAAATGTACTGTAATTAATTTAGTGTAAAAAAATTCTCAAAAGAGTAACATTTTATATGTTACTTTTATCAATGTCGTCGCGAAAGAAAGATCTTGGACAAATCACACCCCAAGCACAAATTTTTGTAAATTTTTAGTATTGACAATGGGTACTAGAACTGGCAATTGACTATTGGCTAACTCGTATTAGCTTAGTACTGGCTGATACAGATTCAGTATTGGCGGTCAATACTTGTCTACCATTACTGATAGAATACTGGTTACACAAAATCGCCTGTACAAGTCGATTAGTATTGGAAAAGTGTTATAATTCCAGAAATATGCCAATATTGGTCTAGAACTAGTAGCCGTTAATGCGCCAGACTTTCAGTAATGGTGCAGTTCTGCGCCTGTTATTAATCTTTTTGGGATTCCTACTTTGTATAATAATATATATTATCATTGAGTTAATCATTACTTTAAATCAGTATAAGAATAATTTTTTTTTTTGCTTTTGGTTTGCGTGAAAAAAAATTCTATTTCTTTCTCATTTTAAGTGTCTAAAGTAATTGTTAGATCATTAATTATTGCTTAAGTTTTATGAGTTTATAATAATATTTTTAGGTTGATTTTAGACTTACTTTTGACCAATCTGATGTACTCCATTCTGCCGGACAATCGATCATATTACATGGTTTTCGATCTATTGGTATTGGTGTAGGACACATGTTATTTGGTACGAGTGCTGTATTACCTTCAGTAACTTCATGAATGCAGTTAACCTCACGAATTTGGAGTCCTATGCCACAGCTGTGTGAACATGGTTGAAACTCGCTTACATTCCATCTAGGTGGACATGGTTGATCATTGCACGTCTGTGTTAATACTTCTGGCTGATCATTTCTTGAACATAAATAGGGTGAAACAATCTTTTTATCTTCTTCTCGAACACAGAGAACTAATGATTCTTGGACCCCTATAAAATAAGGTTAAAATTTAATTAGTTCAAAATAAATTTCAATGACATAATATTTGTTTGTTCTATATTTAAAAATTACTTATATAATAAGTCTATACAAGCTTTTAACTTACTATACTTTTGTTAAACTATTTAAAGACTACACAATTTAAATCACCACAAATAGAATACATGTTATAATCTTGAAACATTATTTAATTTTCAATGTATACTACTACTAATAACACATATAAATTTAATTAATTTTCAATTGATACGAATTTCCAATCTTAACCGCAAAGCTCAGCGTTTTTCATTCTAATCAATAACATTTAACATTTTATTATAATACGTGGCAATGCCAGCATAATATATATATTTAACTCGCGCTAGAGTTTGAACTATAACTATATTAAATTTGTTTTACTATAATACATTAAAAAATCAATTGATAAGCCAAACAGCGTATCTAACCTCCAAGGCAAGAAGCACTGCAATGCGTAAAGCCCTCTCGTTTCCAAGAGTATGTTTTACCGAACGAACCGGGGGCTACTTTTGGTGGATTGAACTCATCTGAACTGGCATCCGCATATCCATCCCTCACTGACCTTTCAATTTGATCGAATCTTAACATAAAAATTGTTCAAAATTTAAGACAGCTTACTCGTAAATTTTTAATTTCAGTTAGGGTTTTTTAATCGATCATGTATTTAATTTTGAAATATCTTAAACTGTACTTACAATTTGTTTGTTGGACATGGCATTGATAAACATCGTTCAACTTCTGGTGGTTTTGGGCCAGTGCATGCATCATCCGTTAGTTTGGTCATAATTTGAGTGTAATCCAAATGAGCTTTACAATAAACTTTTCTCGTTTTGATCCCCTCTCCACAAGTTACACTACATGAACTCCAATTGTCTGACACAAACCTAAAAAAGAAGAAATATTATATAATTTAAACAATTCGAACATGAAATTGAATGAACGGTATTCTGCAAAACAAAGAAAGTCTTAAATTTGTTTTATACTTTATTTTTATATAGTTAAAAATTTTTATTTTATCTATTAGTAACAATAACTAATACATTTTTTTAAATAAGCTATTGACACTTATTGCATAATATCGTTTTTAGTTAGACTTAGTTATAATAATTACATTGTATGAGACGAAGATTTTTGTTGACCGATTAAACGCTGAGCGAAAGCCAGAGAAAAACTTGACAATTTAGTAGACCCTGCAACGAAATCCGAGTCCGTCTCAAAGCTGTTGTCCTCTATATGAGTAAAACAAACAAACGACATGTTAAATGAAACAAAATTTATCAAATCTTAAATATATCATGACATTAAATGTAAACAACTCAAAAAAGCTGAATTTTATCAATACCGATTACCTTATTCCTTTAAGTACAATAAGTTTATTAAGTTCATTAAAGAAATCTTTTTGATATTAAATCGAAATAAAAATTCAGAAAACGACACAAGTTAAATTGTGCAGGTTTGTACCTTAAATTATTCAAGCATAATTTAAAATTTTTCTCTAAGAGTTAAACAAAATATATATTCATACAATAATAAATTAGCGTAAATAAATTTTAAAGAAAACGTATACTTGTTTTTATTTTTGATCGTATATTAAAATATTTATTTGTAAAAATAATTTTTAAGTAGGCATATACTTAAAACTGTTAGTATAACTTTATAAAATATCATACAATTGATTACTTTGATTATCATATTATGCTATGGTTAATTTTTATTAATTAAATTTTATTAGGTATGGGCGCATATCATTTTGATGTATTGATTTTGAAATGTAAAAATCTATAACTCATTTTTCAATTTTCTGAATTTTATTACGTAATAAGTAATATTTTTAAAACAAACATACAGTTAACAATCTATAAATAGCTATTAAGTCATTAAAATAAGAATTTTTAAAGATAATTGTGACCAACAACGCATGTTATTGAATCAAGTTTCCACAGACGTCTACATATGCTTTACACAAACCTCATAGTGTGTGAACGGCGTAACATGCAATTTAAAGCATTATTTTCTCAAGGGAAGCATTGAGTAACAACACTTGCGTAAAGGGATTTCACATTCCTCATATATGTGTCTCAATGAAAATCATTTATCTTTTTAGTGGAAAAGGAAAAGTTGTCAAAGAAAACCTGTCTAAAAAAGTCCATAGTGTGTAACATTCTTTCATGTTAAAAAAAAAATAAAATTATACTTAAACATATTATTACACAAGTCACTTTTAACAACTTAGTAGTATAACTATATTAGGTTAAGTATTTTAAATATATTAATTTACTATACAAATACCATTTAATATGTTTAATTGTTTTTGAGTTATTAGATACACTTACTAAAACAAGGAATGTTCGTTGAACAAATTTGTGTTCTTCTCGGTTCGGTCATAGGATCACAAGTCAAATACTTCTGCTTTATCTTGCAAGTTACATTTCTTATTTGTAAACCTTGATCACATGTAGCGGAACACTAAAAATGATTTAATATTAATCATACTTGGGTAGAATACTTTCCTGAATTCCCTGAAAATACTTTTTTAAATCCTCAGATAACTAAAAAAATTATTAATAAATCTGTATCATGTAATTTATATAGTCTTAAATGTTCCAGAATTTTGAGGGATGTACACTTGTTTTAAATACCAACGTTTTAATGTTAAAAGTAATTTTTCAAATATAGGTATTCGGTTTTTTTTTAATTAATATTTAAGAATACTTTTGAGTATCAACTTTGATTTTTTTGAGTTGAATAATGTAGTTTATTTAAAAAATAAAATATAAAATAGTTTTTAAATTTGATAAAATAATTCAAATTATTGATCTTGGAGGCACTCAAAAAATTATTCTATCCAAGTATATTAATGCACAATCGCATTATTAAGGTAAAGTTTAAGACTATTAACTGACCTTAGACCATTCACTAGTCAACCATTCCGAATAACAGGGCTGATTGTTACATTGTTCTTGAGTTTTTGGTTTATGACCGTGACACATGTGATGCCATACCTAAAAATAACAGTAAAATTTTTAACTTCTTAGTATAATGGGTTTATCCAGTATTATTATTAATGTTAAGTAACCTTGCTAGAATTATTAAAAATAAATAACTTAAAAATGACAGGATGTAATAATTTATCTGATAAAAAAACATAGATTCATTTGTGTTGATATTATGACAGGTTATTAATAATGAAACAAATAATGGTTTAGTAAAATTGTCGAATAATCAGTTAATACAATTATTGATTAAACATTTTTATTTTGACTAACTTTTAACTAATGACAATGAAGCTAGAATGCTACAAATATTCCGTAATTTTGTGAGAACCTTATAGTTGACGTAAAAATATCATTAAATAAAATTTTATACCTATCATAATATATTTAAAGATTTGTAGCTTTCGGATGAAATATGAGTCTAGTTAGCGTAATTCATTAAACATTCCATTAAAAAAAGTGCACTTACATTTAAGTATTGGCATGAAATATTTAAAATAGATTAAATTATTCTTTTAATATAAAAAGAGTCTCGTTAACTGACAATGTTATTTTTAGACAATTGAGTATAGATGCAAAGAATTGGTAATTTTTGTTATTAAGTTGTCTAGACGAAAATATTATGTATGTTACAGGATCAATACTCGGTATAACTTGAATGTTAGCCACTATGTGATAAAATTAAAAGATTATACTTATAAACTGAATAACATATATTAACAAATCTTCAAGATCTATTAAAATCTATAACACATATTAAAACTATTATATTTAACAATAAGTATAACGGTAATGGAATGGTCGTAACTTTTAATGATATTATATTAATGATACATACAAGATTTTTAACTTCAAAGCTGAGAAGGTATTAATTTTACTATGATGTGTTTTTTTATTTATTTATTTTTTTTTTGTGTCTATAACCACTTTTTCTCGGCTCTCACCGAACCGATTTCTTTCAACGATACGTCAAAAGATCACAAATCGTATCTAGTTTAAGACATTACCCTCAAAAATTGAAAAAATTTCCCTTGTTCCCTGTAAATGAGGGAAATCTCCAAAAAAATTACAAATTTAAAAATCGCTTATTTTTGAAATTTTTTCACTTTTTTTACATAAAACTGTTAGAATTTTTTCAAAATTGTACAAATCAATATAATTTTTTTTTATATATGCTTGATGTTTTTACCTATTATTTGGTATATTTTTTTTATAAATTTAACCCTTTACCTGCCCACAGGAGGGTATTTAAAATGACAACTTTTTCATACAAAATTAACTTTTAAAAGTGTTTCGGAAAGTCTGACATTTTTATATATATCTTAAATTAAAGCTAATGTAATATACTTTATCATGGAAAAATTTTATGCTACTGGTTAATTACTAGAAAAACATATATGCACCAAAAAAATGTCAGGACGAGTGTAAATTAATGAACTATTGGTTAAATATTATTAAAATACAAATAATTTTAAACAAAAGTTTATTCCTTCGGGCCGGATTTGAACCAGCGACCTATGGATATCTATGATATATTACACACACTACAGTCCACCGCTCTACCAACTGAGCTACCGAAGGATATTTAGAATATGAAATTTTACTCCACTAATATTACACTGTTTTAGTTATTGTAAATTGTAAAATATACAACAGGCTATTAAAGATAATTTGATATATTTATATTTATTTTCATGGTAAATAATGGGATTAGAAATATTTTAACAACAAATAATATAAACGTTAAAAATACATCCTTTATTTAAAAAAAAAAAAACGATATGTTATAATCTAATAGTATGAGGTACTTGAAAGATCTATATGAGGCCTATCAAAATCTTGAATTTTAAAAGCAAGTGTCTAATTAAATATGCATATCTAAAGGAGGCTATTTAGGAAATTTCAATCGAATGCCCAAGAAAGGTAAATATTTAATTGTTATGATTTACAAATTAGATTTAAAAATTTTTGTTTTTGCTTATATTTTATTACAATTTTTTATTTATAGGTATTAATAATAAATAAATAAAATTATAGTTTGGTGAACTCAATATTAATTGTAAAAATGAAAGATGTCAAAAATTGTGTGAATGTTATTTTTTTGAGTTTGCATAAAGTTTAATAAAGTTCAACTAATAAACCTATTATAATTAAATTTGCAAAATTTTTTCCTTCGGGCCGGATTTGAACCAGCGACCTATGGATATCTATGATATATAACACTACAGTCCACCGCTCTACCAACTGAGCTACCGAAGGCGCGTAATAGTGTCCCAATAAATGTGGTTATTTAAAACAGCTTGAATTTACTTTCACTTAAGTTTTCTAAAAGCGATTAGTATTAATTAAATACATAATTATTTCATGATCCAAAAATCATGTACGATTTGCATGGTGAATGGTGGTTTTTCTTTACAACACAAGTAGTTTTACATGTATAACTACTGAATATTAAATTCTAAATATTAAATCTATTATAATTACCACATAAATCTTTTATATAAAATTACTTCATAAGTTTTATAAAAATATTTTTGATAGTTGACACATATAATTTTTATTTTTATTTCAGTTATATCATAATGTTATTTAAATTGTAATTTGTAATAAATAAAATTATTTTGTTTTTTGTTATGATTATAAAGACAACTTATTGTACACAAATGCAAACATTGTAAAAATCTAACTTCCTAAAATATATCCCAAAATTTGAGTTAAATACCATTTTACCATTAAATAATACTTAGTACATTTTTAAAGCAAATTATACGTTTTAAATATTGTATTAAAATCGTTTTAATTCAAATAATAGTTTGTTCTTAAATTTTCAGGCTTTATTCTCTATGATATATTTAGATTAAAACAATTTTAGCTACAATGCGAAGCTGAGAAGGTATTAATTTTACTATGATGTGATTATTTATTTATTTATTTTTTTTTTTTGTGTCTGTTACCACATTTTCTCAGCTCTTACCGAACCGATTTCTTTCAACAATACGTCAAAAGATCACAAATCCTATCTAGTTTAAGACATTACCCTCAAAAATTGAAAAAATTTCCCTTGTTCCCTGTAAATGAGGGAAATCTCCTAAAAAATTATTNTTACCCTCAAAAATTGAAAAAATTTCCCTTGTTCCCTGTAAATGAGGGAAATCTCCAAAAAAATTACANAAAAAATTTCCCTTGTTCCCTGTAAATGAGGGAAATCTCCTAAAAAATTATTAATTTAAAAATCGCTAATTTTCGAAATATTTTCAATTTTTTTTACTTAAAACTGCCATAACTTTTTCAAAATTGAACAAATCGATATAATTTTTTTTATAGATGCTTGATGTCTTTACCTATCATTTGGTATATATTTTTTTATAAATTTAACCCTTTACCAGCCCACAGGAAGGATTCAAAATGACAACTTTTGATAAATCAATCACCCTGTGAAAACCGGATGTTTATGAAGTTTTTTGAGAAATTATCCTTTTATGTTTTTATAATCTGTTTAAACGTAGGCCATTTTTTATTTAGATAATAATGTTGCAAATGAGCTAAACTAACTCATTGAACGCCCAATTAGTTCTAAACGATCAAATTAATAAACAGATATGAAAAATATATTGCCAATGAATATTATGAGTGAAATTATCAATATGAAAGTATCTTTAATGCATTACAAGAGAAAGTGAAAAAATCAAATTTAAATAGATTTATGTTGTTCAGTAACAGTATCACCTTCGGTAGCTCAGTTGGTAGAGCGGTGGACTGTAGTGTAAACAAGAGCATAGATATCCATAGGTCGCTGGTTCAAATCCGGCCCGAAGGAAAAATTTTTATGTAACTAAATGGAATTAGTAATATTTTGTTTAATTTTTGTAATTTATAATTTCTTTTTTTATTAAGAAGTTAATGCTTTGAGTATCATATGACTCGTCCAGTTGCAAATGGACGCATAATAAAAAAAAAAAATTCTTGAAATACGCTCATTTGCAACTAATTACTCATATATTATATTGAGTGTACTTTTATATTCGACTTTTTTCTGTACCCTAATTTGCTACGTTGTCTGTACATCAAATACAATTCTCATTAATTATACAATTATTACATTGATATATTTTTTTATTTTATCAATAGGTGTCAATGAAACATAAATGAATAGAACGAACAAAGGCCAGTCACTTTTTAGCAGTGAAATATATAAGAAATATTTACTGAGTGTGTGCTCATCCTAAGGAATTTGTGCTATAACTATAGCAAGTAAATATCAATTTTTATGTTGTCATTTGTAATAATAATTTTAATTATTTTAAACATTCGTTAATAATAATTCAACTATTTTTACTTTAACATTGACATAAAAATTATTTGGCATAGTGCTAATAAACTGAAAAAATAAAAATAATTTATAAATTTTACAAATTTACTTTAAGTATATATTTTAAGTAATAAAGTACAATCACGGTTTTGATACTGTAAAGTAGTAAGCCTTAAATAATTAGCTAAATATTTTGTATTTAGTAATAATCAAATTAGCACTGTTAATTAACAGAATAGATAATAAATCTAATTGTACAATATACTACATAGTATAATAATTGTATAAAATGTATTGCGGTTTGTTTTTATAAGTTTTAGTAATTTATACGAAGAATTTGAGATTTAAACGGTAAACATATTACAATTATATGTATTAAAAATATATTTTAATAAAACATAATAAGTTCTGAAATAAGCACATATTATGTGCTTATTTCAGATGATTTGAATTTGATCACTGGTTTTGCAAACTATTAAAATTTTTAACTAATGATCATCTTGAACTATTACTGATTACACTGTATGTAATTTAAATACAATTGATACAATTTTGAATTTTTTTTTTACTTATTTTATCTTTTTTAATATTAAATACGTATTACAATATTCAGAACAAAACCTTCAGAATCTAAAACGTTATACTGATGATAAACTGAGAAGAAAGTAACGAAAATTTTTCTTTAGTTAAATATTATCTCGAAAAATTCTAAGTACGGTGTTGTATAAAATAATAGTTTTGTGTCTTAAAACTAAATTAATGTAAGTCATATTTAGTCAATTTTTCAGGAAAGCATATAAACAGAAAAATGTAACTTATTTGAATCGCTACAGAGATAGAAATAAAAGTTAGCACGCTAGTATATTTGATTACTTTAAAAACTATATAGTTAGTATACCATTCGTTTATTTTTTATGTGAATTATGTCGAGTTACGTTTGTTTGGTGCAAACTTAAGTTAGGACCTAAGTTCTCTTCTAAATTTGATAAAATATTGTAGGAGTACTCGCAACGAACTTCTGATAGATATGTAGATCGATGTAAAATTTAGTTTCGCATACAAATATGTAATAATCTGTAAATCACAATTTTTGGACTTGCATTAGAATCTAATTCTGGGTACAGAATTATTCCCATTTTGAAAAATTCACTCGGATCTAAGTACACTGACCCTCCCCTACTCCCTCCGGTCATTTCTTGTCAAGTGTCTTTCTATTATATGAAAACCAATGCTTTTGATTGCGTACCACTGCGTATAATCGGTATTACGAAGTCCAACGAATTCCGAGTGGCGATGGCGATCCGTTTCTGACGCCATGAATCTGCAACATATCACTGAGAATACAGTAGTAACCTCAGTGACATGCTAAACCTTAGCAGTTAACTGATGAGGTTCTTCTTATTTGTGCTAATTCTTATGTAAATGTATTACGGTCGCAATACATATATTTGGTAGTTGGTATATTAGAAAACATGCTTCTTCTCATAAATACATGTAATTTCACGGGAAAAATACTTTAATATGAAGTAATGAGAAAAAAAAGTAAACAAAATTTAGAGGTGGTGGTGTGTCAGTAAATTTTTTATTATTATTTAACAAACATAAAATTTAACCGCGACTACATTGGCTCTTCTCATATCTTTTGTGCATTTCATATACCACTAAGAATATATATCTTCAACTTTTATTATAATTTTATGTTAATTAACTTATCGTTATTTCAATTTAAGAACATTCTGTATCGACTCTTTCATTTTAAACTTAAATTTGTGTCCACTACATTTTATCTTTAAATATATGTATCTAACTCTTTTATTCACAACTCCTAGTAGTTTCTTAGTGGGTCAAATCGATTTACAGCAATGGTATTACTAGTGATTGTTACATATTTCGTAAACCATTATAGAATTACTCAAAATGCCCTGAGGTATTTAGAGCGAAAGTTAAAAACAAATTTAAAAAGAATTATCTTGTGGTTTTCATACATCGCCTTCGGTAGCTCAGTTGGTAGAGCGGTGGACTGTAGTGTATAACAACATAGATATCCATAGGTCGCTGGTTCAAATCCGGCCCGAAGGAATCAAAATTTTATTAACATAAAGACAATCATGCATAATTTTTTATGTTCAATTAATATTATAGCTCGTACTTGTGGATATTTATAATCACTCGAGTTTTATACCCACTGTATCTAATAAAATGCGTTTAATTCAATGAGAACTTGTTCTAAAATTGATATCAGTCATTCAAATTTTTTGTAAGAAAGGAGCTAAAAACTATTTATATTAAAATTTTGAAAAAATAAATAAATAAAGTAAAAATTTTCATTTTTATTATTTTTAATATATATTAAAATGTTTGCTTTAAATGTAATTTAAGAATTAAATATTTTAAAAATGTATTAGCATCAAAAGTTATAAACATTGTCAGTTAAATATGAGATACTCTGTACAGTATTTTTAATTCTATATTATTTATACTAAATGGGTTTTCCATTATTAGTTTTTATAAAATTGTTAGTGAATATAGTTACAAAATTATATAAAATATGGTTTGTTTTTAAAAAATTATTTTACAGGCATTATGAAACGATATTACACTAAAGTGATTTTGAGTGGCGTGATGTGATGCAATAGATCATTAAATCGTCTCCTTAACGCTAACGTTTAGCTGCGTTGATTGCAGTTGGTACACGGATGGGTGACCATACAGGAGCTATAACAGTGACACACACGTCCCTTTACTGGCTTCCTCGGCTATAATAAGGTTACAGGTTGATAGCTGGTGTAAAAAACCTTTTTAATCGTAAGAAAGAGACGACCTAAAATGGTTGGAATACAGACTAAGAAATTGATTATACTTAATTATAGGAATATACGCTGACTAAACAATTGTATTAATTTAATAATAAGATAATGAAAAACCCATAGGATGTCTTAAGTATTATTGTGTGATAATAATGCCAAAATTAATAATGAAAGTCGACTCTTACTCGAGTATTGAAAGATACTTCATAGTGTTTTTTTAAAAGAACAATATTAAAAAATCAGTAATAAACAGTATTAAAAATTCTAAAGAAACGTGTGAATTTCAATGTTAGAATAAAAATAATCTGTTTTTGCATGTTAAAATTATTACCACTTTACGTACATTAAGTTAAACTTATTATGATATCACATCTTATTAGTGAGTACTATAAGTTTTTGGATGATACATAAAAATGGAAAAACAATTTTAGCCCTGTATCAAAACAATAATATTGATTACTAAGTTGGCTTATATAGTGTAGAGTAACTGGAGAATTTTGGCTAGATGTCATCGTTACCGATACAATATTAGGTAGATGTGAGTGTGTATATTTCTTTTTTCCTGTAAGATATCGAAAACTCTGCCAATTTAGTAGTAATTGTATAAAAGATGTTGTTTTTCTTATTTTCAATAGATAAAAAAAATTTAATAGCATGTTTTACGCGTTAAAATACATCTAATATTTTTTCATTCTTTTATTTTTATTTTTAAGTTTTTAAAATGTTTTAAAATAATGGAATGTTATATAAAAACATAAAATTGAAGAAGGATAAGAAAATCTTAATTTAACTTTTAATTTCTGTTTTTTTATTAAAGTGGAAATATTTATTAATAAACTTAAAATCATCTACACGCTTTGCAGCATTTTAACATTTTACTTATTTGGTTTAATCAAGTAATCGAGTATAGCTGTCTATGCTAAATTTCTCAAGTATGTAAGAAACTGTCCAAATGCTCTAATAATTAAAAAAAAAATAATAATTTAATTCAATAAATGAAGTTTTCTTAAAATATTAAGGTATAAAAATATTTAAATTAAAATAAATCATTATTTGTTTATGTAAATGGAATTTTATTGTCAGATATGTATGAAAAAGCTTTAATAATCTATGACGTTGTTCATTGTTAAGTTTTTTTCAGTAATTCATTATGTTCTAAATTAAAAACACCTATTTAAATAATAGTTACATTACATGTTATAAAAACATTGCCCCAATAGGTTTTTGTATTAATAGTAAATAGTTTATTCTCACGATTTTATTGAACAGTTTAAGTTGAATAAAATAAATTTGAAACAACCTTTATGGGGTGCCAGGTCTTTTTCTTACTTATCACATTAATAATGTATATTTGTATCATGTCTTTGAATCGTTACACTTATAATACTTCGTGTAAAATATTTAAACGTCATTGTCGTTGGATTAATAATAATATTCTTATAACTTCAATTTTATTTAAAAAAGTTGTTAAAAATGATTTGTTTAGTACACGTGTTATGTATAAGACGGTCGTCTTTATTAATTTATTAACGAGTATTTAATCAATGTAAACTGTAATAAACTTATGCTTAATTTATGTCAATGCTATATAGTAAAACGTCTTCTACTTATTATTATTTTTTATATTTATATTTAGATCTTCTCTAAAAATTAATACTTGTGCCAGAAAGGATGGCTAAACTTATAAAGCCCAGCACAAATGAATCGAAGTCCAGTACTTTAGCACTACTACACAACTAGTTACCAACCGATCTAGGTAGACTGCCTGTTATTGTTCACGTTATTATTTTTCTTTTACAATTGTAATACTATTACATTTGACAATTCTTTAATTCTGTTCATTGATGTTAGATAGTCACTGTTAAATCTTTTTGCATTTTTAATGTAGTTGATTTTGAAATTAACTACACCGGACTGTTGAATTGAATACATTATGTCGAACATTGATATATTTCAAAGTAACAAAAATATAAAAAGTTGTAATAAAAATATTACGTTTTTTGGTTTAAATTCTTTCGGGTACAAATTTATTTGAATTCAAGATTAACTAAGACCAATATTCTCAAAACGAGAAAGTTGCTAGTCAAATTAACGCAATAAACTAATATTAATTTAAACTCGCAAATATAATTAAAATCAAAACTCCATTTGTTCTAGGTGAAAATTACGTGCAATTTTGTGTTTGACTGCAACTGCATTTGGGGTAAAAATAAGTATCTATCCTTTTGCGTGTAAGTAACAGATAAATATTTTAAAAATAATTGTGGATTTCAATTGATTAAGGAAATATTAACTTAATATTTGAAAAAAAAAAAAAATTACATCCGATTTTTTGAGTCTGTTATTTGAATATTTTACTGGGTAACGTAAGAATATAAATATTATTAATTAATTATTCTGTAGCATAGAACAGTTATGAAACTAATGGTACGTCATTAGTTATTTTTTAATTAAAAAAAAATATTAGTACTTGGTAATTGTCTACGATTTTTTTCTTGTTATAGTTAAACATTAAAAACTTAATAAACACGTAACCACTGTTTGCTCAATGTCAAAATTTCTTGTTTGATTCCCTTAAACATTAAGATTTTAAATTTATTTATTTTTTCAATTTATTAATTGTTATAACATACAAACAGTTGGGTCAAATTAATTCATAAATAAATTATAAAATTAAAAATACAAAAAAAGCAATTAAAAATTATTGTTAATTTTGTTACATAAATTATACTAACTGACAGTTGAGTAGTATGTGAAAATATTAAGTGGACAATTATTTAAAACACTCTTACCTTTTTAAAATTATGTGAATATTTTAAGTGAAAATATTCAAGGATTCTATCTTATTGAAAATTTGAAAAACTATATAGTTTTTTTTATTTTAATTTTATAAAGGGCAGACTTTTACCGTAATAATTATTCCTACAAAATTTTAAATTATGTTATATATTTAAAAAATAGGCTTCTAGAAAATTAATTTTTCGAAATTTTAAAAATTGAGTTTTTTTTACAGGAGAAAAAAATGTATTTCCAATTATTTAAATGGGTTCTTGGTTAAAAAATTATAAGTTTGAAGCCATTTATTTTTATTGAAAAATAAACATTATGTATCAGAATTAGTGATACTTTTAATGAAAAAAAATTCGGATAAATTATTGTTTGAGCTTTTAGTATTATGATCACAACGTTTCACTTAAACAGTGTTATCCATTGTTAAACAATGCATTAAACTATTAATTTATAATAAAACCCAGCACAGGGGGGTCGCGGCACAGTTGTGACGTGGTATAGTTGGATCAAGTATAATGATATCTGACAGTGATTAAAATCACTATCAAAAATAAACGCTTCGATGCAAATCTTTAGATAGTGTTTAATTTTAAAAAAATTGGTGTTTTATTCCAAAAGCTACTTGATCTGCTGGTTCCTTA